TGTGTGTGTGTGTGTGTGTGTGTGTGTGTGTGTGTGTGTGTGTAGTGGGGAGAATGCTGTGGTGAATTATATTTGTGACATGACTTTTCTTTATAACATTTTAATTTAAGGTGGAATTGGGATCTTTATATTTAAAGAGACAAATGTAGTCTCCAGGTTACTAGTCTTATTTAAGAGTCTTCTGCCTTACAAGAATTTCAGTGATACCTGTTTAATTAACAGGACATAAGATCAGTGCTGCTACTTCTTCTACTCCTCCTCCTCCCAGAACTACTTTTCCCAGTGACATGGCTATTCTTGTCCTTTTATTTTTCAGCCTGATGCCATCCTATATCTTCTTTTATTTCTTCTTCCCATTCCATTTTTCATGTAACTGAACTGAAACTTGATATGCTTGGAGATTTCATTCTGGTAATATGGTCTGTTGGTAGACTTGGAATGAAGAAGACCTAAATTTGAATTCTGCCAGTGATTTTACTAGCTCTGTGACCATGGACACCTAACCTCACTGAGGTTTCCATCTATGTGTGTTTTCCCCATAAACATTTGTAATTTGGAAGAGAGCTAGAAAGTGAATAGCCAGGCTTTTATTTTAAATAAGATATGTCCTATTCATGATTTTGCATAATTTTAGCCTTATTGTCATTCACCAAGCATTTGTTAAGCGCTACTGTGTACCAGACACTATGCTAACATCTTTACCCACCAAATCTCTTCTATCCTTAACCCATTGCATCTACCCTTCCCACCCATAGGCCTACTTTTGAATAAATAAATATTGGCTTGAACAGTAAGTTTCAGTTCTAGATACTGTTCTAAAACAACATTATAAAGAGGTCCATGAACATCATTCTTCTCCATGTATTCTGTGATCCAGTGATACTTATCTCCTTGCTGTTCCTCACATATCATCCAGGTAGTCAATCATTAAGCATTTATTAAGTGCCTAATGTGCCAGTCACTGTGCTAAGTGCTAGGGATACAAAAAAAGGCAAAAGACAGTTCTAGCATTCATAATCCAGTGGAGGAGATAGCAGGCAAACAGTTATATATAAGATAAAAAGGAAATAATTAAAAGAGAAAAGGCACTAGAATTAAGAAGGATTGGGAAAGGTTTCCTATAAAAGGTGGGATTTTACTTGGTGCTTCAAGGAAGTTAGGAAGCAGAGATGAGGAGGGAGAGCAGTCCAGGCATGGGGGACAGCTAGTAAAAATGGCTAGAGCCAAGAGATGAAATGTTTTGTTTTTGGAACAGCAAGGAGGCCAGTGTTAATGAATCAAAGGATATACAGTAAGGGGAGGGGAGTGCTTGTAAGGTATAAGGAGACTGGAAAGGTAAAGGTGGACTAGGTTATAAAAGGCTTTGAAAGCCAAAGAAAAGATTTTATATTTGCTCCTGGGAGGTGATAAGCCACTAGAATTTATTGAATTGGGTGATAACATGGTCAGACCTGTGCTTTAAGAAAATCAGTTTGTCAGCTGCATGGGAGATAGACTGGAGTGGGGATAGACTGGAGGCTGGCCTACCTACTAGAGGGCTATTGCATTAGTTCAGGTTTGAGGTGATAAAGGCCTGCACTAGAGTGGGGACCATGTCAGATGTGAGAAGGAACTGTAGTCAAGAGATGTTACAAAAATCCACAGGCCTTGGCAACAGATTGGATGTGGGGGAGAAGGGGAGTTGAGATACTGAGGAGTTGGGAATGACACCTAAGTTGTGAGCCTAGGTATCTGGGAGGATGATGATACCTTCAACATCAAGTTGGGAATTTGGAAGGAGAGAAGGTTTAGTTGGAAAGATAATTAGTTCAGTTTTGGACATGTTGATTTTAAGATGTTTACTGGACATCTAGTTTAATATGTCTGAAAGGTTGTTGGAGATGAAGTTAGGGCTGAATAGGTAGATTTGTGAGTCATTACTGTAGAGATAATCATTAAATCCATGGGAGCTGTTGAGATCACCCAGTAAAGTAGTATAGATGGACAGGAGAAGAGGAACCAGGACCAAGCACTTATGGGACACCCAAGATAAGCGGGTGTGACCTGAATGAATTTCCAGCAAAAGCAAATAAGAAGGAGCAGTCATAGTTAGGAAGATAACCAAGAGAGAGTAGTATTCCACAAACCTGGAGATAAGATGGTATCAAGGAAAAGAAGGTATCTTCAGCAGAGTTCAAGAAGAACAAGTTTTGAGACATGATGCTTCATCTCCTGACCCAAGTATTTTCACTGACTGTCCCCTGTTGGTGGAATTCTCTACCTCCTTATCTCTGCTTCTTGTTGTACAGGCTTCAAGTCTCAACTGAAGTTCTACCTTCTGCAAGAAGGATTTCCCAGTCCTCCTTTAACCTTAAGACTATCCCCAATTTATCCTGTATATATCTTGTTTGTATGTGGTTGTTTGCATGTTGTCTCCCACATTAGAATATGAACTCCTTGAGAATGGGGACTGTTTTTTATCTTTCCTGCCAGTGCCTGGCAAATAGTAGGCACTTAATAAATGCATGTTGACTAACATCTTTATTTTTACCAACCTCTGAAATTTGGCATTTTTTTTCATTTATTTAAAAAAATTATCCTGAGAAGTGATCCATAGGTTTCACCAGACTGCGAAAAGAGTCCATGGCCCAATAAAAAAGTTAAGAACTTCTGCTCTAAAATACATATCTTTATTTTTAACTCACTGTACACCATGTCAGAATCCATTTCTAAAAAAAGAACAAAGGTAAACTGTTTATACTCTATACCTTAGGGTTTGCCATCTTTGTTTTGTAACAGTATGCCTCAAAATGAGCCTCTCTCTTGATATTTATATTAAACTATATTTCATAGGAGTACATAGACAACCAAGTTGAGTATTAGGACTGAAAGTTAATGTCTGTGTCACTTGTAGTGATCCTCGACTTTCCATTAGTTGTGTCTTATCATAAAGCTTGGACTTAGAAAATAATATTAATAACAAGTAATATATTGGTATTTATAGTTCAGAAAATTCTTTACATCTATTATTTCATTCAGTCTTTAACATAATCCTATGAGGTAGTAAGTGTGTTCATTATTTCATTCAGTCTTTCCAGTAATCCTGTGAGATAGCTCGTATGTAGATATAATACCAATGAGGAAACAGGAACACAGAGGTTAAATCACTTGCTCAAGGTCACATAGGTAGTAAGTGATGAGCAAAAATGGAATCTGGGCTTCCCTTTTTCTGTCAAGGAGACCAGTGTATTCTTCCAGTTACCCAGTTTTAAAACCGTGGCAGTGTCCTTGACTTCTGTTTCAGGCCACCTAACCTCTCAGTTACCAGATCTTGTCATTTCCACATCAACATTTCTCACATCCCTTTTTTCATGTAGCTGCCACCTTATTTTATACTTTCAACATCTCTGGTCTGGACTCACATCTTAATTGATCTCTTTGCCTTCATTCTCTTGCTGTCTTGCCACATCCTTGCAAAACTCATCAATCCTAAAGTGCAGATCTGACCATGTCACTGTAAGTAAATTGCACTGGTTCTCTAGGATCAGATTGAACCTTTATTTGGCATGTAAAGCTCTTCTAGACTAGACCTACCTATAAGCTACCTTTTCGACCTTATTGACTGGCCATGTTGTTGATGTGAGTCTCACACTTCAGGAAGGTGGAAGTATAAACATTATTATTTGTTTTTACCATTTGTTTTACCATTATGAAATAACTTGACATTCTTTGCTGAGGAATTAGAGGGGGAAAAAACTACCTTAAGGACAGTAGGGAACAAGAAGACAGTGAGTTATGGTTTGAAAATGAAAGCATGCCACTGAAATGGCATTTATCTAATTAGTTTATTGTTCTTTACTGATCTTACATCAGATTGAAATTTTCTTGGAGCATCAGTATTTTTAAAGAGTTTTCTAGCAAGAGATTTTCTGCACCCTCCATCTAAAAATGTGATTGAAGTTTATTTTATGTCCTGTATGAAAGAAGAGAATGCTTTAAGAATAAGAATCAAGTAATCAATGATATGCAAAAAAAAAATCATAACTCTGGATGGGATTATAAAATGACATTTGATCAGTTTGGGGCAATTAATCAGAAGTCTCATGGAATATCCTCTAGATCTGTCTGTTAGAATATATTGTTCACTTGCCCATATGCACTCTAACTACATAAAGCCTTCCCTTATGACAAAGGAAAATTGATTAACATAGCAACAGTACCTAATAGTATATGTCCTAATAAGACATTCCATGGCAGAATCTCTTCCTTTAGCATGTCAGACAGCATCTAGGCTGTTATGGCTATGGGAATAAGTGACCAAGGAAACCTAGGCTGCTTGCTCAGCTCCAGACCAATTCCTGGGCTTTCTGACATCACTCAAGCAAAGCTGGTAGAATCAGCCCAGGCTATGGGAAACCACTTCAATGAGTGGAATCATCAACTGAAATTACTTTTTCATGAGGGTCACCTTAATCTAGGACACCATGCTTTGCCATTCACCCTGGAGCTGCACCTTCTTGACTACTAGGCCTTGTTGTCCATCTTATAGCTACATTGTTCTTATATGTGTTTTCTCCCCCTATTGGAATCTAAGTTCTTTGAGGACAACAACTGTTTTCCTTTTATATGTGTATTCCCATTACAATGCTTGGCACATTATAAGAGCTTATTACCATGCTTTTTCATTCATACATTCGAACTCTACAGTGCAACCAAACTGGCCTTGTTACTGTCCTCTCATGGGACACTCCATTGATTGTGTCTTTATACTGGCTTTCCCTCTTGCTTAGAATTCCTCCTTGCCTCTGCCTCTTAGAATGCCTCATTTCCTTAAAAACTCTGATCAAACACCACCTTCTCCATAATCTTCTCATTTTCATGTCTTCTCACTGGCTGATGCCCTTCTTTTCCCCCAAATGTCTTTGTATTTATTTTGTACCTATATATGTATATATTGTCTTCTCCTTTAGGTCAAGTACTTTTTCATTGTTATCTTTTTATCCTTAGCACAGTGCCTACAACATAGTAGGTGCTTACTAAAAATTTATTGAAATCTAGTGGTTTGTTTTTTTCAACTATTTCTGCTTGTATTTCTTTATATGTCTCTTCAGAACCATCTAGATTCCCTTTGGGTCAAAGATATTGGTATTAATGTGTGATCTTAAAACTTCCAAGTTTTTTAATGATGTGAGTGCTTCCATAACTTGTTTCAGTATTGTTCAGTATTTGGATTGTTGATATCTTCACGAATCACTTACTATGGCATTCTTATTTTTAGTCAAATGCACCTTGCATCCTTTTTATTGATGAAATTGATGCTATCACCCCCAAAAGAGAAGTTGCTTCAAAAGACATGGAACGGAGAATTGTGGCCCAGCTCCTAGTCTGCATGGATGGTTAGTTTAAAATAAGTACTTGTTTGAAAAACACTCTTTTTTAAAGGTACAATTTTTATTAAGGGGGCTGACAGCCAATTCCACTAGACTCTTAGGACTAGATAATCTCCATTGTAGAATGCTGCTTGCTTTGCGCACCTACTTAAATCTGAAGTAGAAATGTGCTTGCTGGTATTGGCATTTGTGTAAGTTTTTGTGATTTTAAAGTCTAACTGCTCATTTTTTTGGTTACCTATATCCTGTGTTCTTTTGACTTTTAAGCCTTGATATCTTCCTGACGGTAGTTTGCTCTTTGAGATCCTATACTAGGGATCATTAAGATGATAGTTTATGTTTATAGTGCTGTATAGTTATAAAATACATTACATACATTATCTTAGCTGATGCTCAATAACTCTTTGAAGTTGCTTGTGTAACTAGTATATCTGTATTTTTACCTATCACAAAATTGAAAACTAGAGAAATGAATAGAGAAATGAAGTGACTTGCCCAAAGTCACGCCATAGAAAAGGGACTTAAACCCAGTTTTTATGAATTCAAGTCCAGTTATCTTTTCCACTAGACGTGAGAACATGAGGCATGTCATTTAAGAAGTCTAGCATCTCTGAATCTGGATCAACTTTCAAAGGAATATAAGACTTAGAAGGATTATCCTTTAAGCCAGAACATAAAATTTCACAACTTAAATAATTGTACTCCAAACAGTGGCATTTTCACTGGTGCTTTGTTTTACACATTTTTAAGGTTTATTTTTAAAAAATAACCGTTTATTTTGATTCCATTCAGTTGGAATTTCTGCTGATTCAGACATGAATTTTTACTAAGTAAATTCATAGTGTGAACAAGATCATGAGAAAAATTAATTCAATTCAACAAAATTTTTTAAGTGCCTAATATATCAAACACTGCTAGGAATTCTCTGATGTTTCACTAGATTTTATCACACTCCTAATCATATTTGTCCAGAAAGCCTCCCCAGGGAGTTCAGCAGTGTGTTGTAGCTTTCTTCTAAACCTCTTGTCATTGAAATAACACATGCCAACCAAATTGAACTATCATATATTCTCTGAACTTGGTAAGTTCTACTATTTAACTCTGGTTGTTTTTCAAGACCCAGAGATAGGGCCACATACTCAGTTGTTGCAACTACAAAATCCAGTAAGGGCTGTCTTGTCGACTATTCCTTTTTTCGCAGTATGACTAGCCTATCTCCTTTTCTGCTTATACATCCATATCATTCCAGGTGTTATTGCTTCTTCAGTGCAATATGTCCCCTTTCATCTCTCAATTGCCCTTTGAGTGATCTTCAACTTTAATTCTTTGTCGTGGTATTCTATAACCCAAAGCCATATAATATAACCTTAATAATATTGATATTAAAAAGCTAGTCCTTTAGGAAAAGCTCTGGGTCATTCATTGAAAACAATCCAATCTGTTCTCTTCCTCCTGTTCAAGAATTTTTCTAGGTCGTCATGCATCCAGAATAAATGAATTGTTGTCTATCCATTGGTATGCCATAGCCTAGAGAATAGGTGTTATTTGTTCACTTTTGTTCCCCGGGTGAGTATGGGGTACTAAGGAGGGAAAATCAAATTTGGCAGGTCTGAGATGATTGGTAACTTTGGAGAGAGTAGTTTTAGTTGAGTGATGAGATTGGAAGCCAGGTTGCAGAGGATTGGAGGAGTAAGAGGAGAGGAAGTAAAGACAAATTTAAAGAGCTTTTTCAGGGAATTAGGCTGAGACAGAAGAGATACAGGATGCTGTCTTGAGGGGATGATGGAATTTAGTGAAGGTTTTTTAAGGGTAGGAAAACGGAGAAAGTTTGAGGGCAATAAAGAAGGAACCAGCTGATTGAGGATGCACTAAATTAATTTATTTTGTGTCATTAAAATCGATAGTTGGAAAATTTGCTTGTATGGCTCTATCTCTACACCTTGAAATCCCAGGCCTGACTAGGAGAACCTAATTAGTTTATGGAATAACTCGTAGCCAACTTTGGCTGGAAAGTAGAATGTTTGAATGGAGTGAGTAATAGGCAGTTCGGTAGGAAAGATAGGTCTGAGCCAGATTATGGAGTTTCTTTGTTGCCAGGCTTAGGAGTTTGTATTTAATCCCATAGAGATTTTTGAAAGGGTTTTGAGTGTCAGACTTGTACCTTAGGAAGATTAATTTGTCATCTGCAAAAAAGGTGGTTTGAAGAGAGGGAATGACAAGAAATCAGGAGACTTTGTAATTGGTCTGAACTAGGATGGTGATTGTAAATGGAGTAAAGGGAACAGATTTGGGAGGTGTTGTCAAGCCTCAGCAAGATTTGGCAGCTGCTTGGTTGTGAGGAGTAAAGGGTGGGGAAGAGTTAAAAACAAGTTTAAGGTTTTGAACTTGGGTCTCTTGGAAGGTAGTGATACCACTAACAAAATAGAAAAGTTTGAGGAGGGACAGATGGGGTTTGGGAGAGAGAATAATTGTAGTTTGGAGCTCCTTAAGTTTAAGTTGCAAGCAGGATATCCAAGTGGAGACTTGTCTGGTAGTTTTGCAATGTAAGACTTTATATACAGTTCGGGGGAAAAAATTAGGGATCTGTGTATTGATTTGAATGTTCCTTTTGTAGAGCTGATAACTCCATTCTAGATCAGATCACCAAAGGAAAGCAGAGAGAGAAAAAAAGAACCTAGGACAGTACCTTGGTTAGCACTCAGTATAGACAGTCAGCAAACTGAGAGTGTATTTTCATATGCTTCCCCATTCTTCTTTTTCCAGGGGGAGGAGGAGGGAGAATGGTAACATGCCATATTCCTGATTCCCTTATTATTCCCCCACCCAAGCCAAGTTTCATAATTTTTTGTGGTTATTTAATGTCATCATTCTTCACCACATGTGTAAATGTTGAAATTTCCTGGGCCTCATGTGGAGGATACGTTGATAAAAATTTGTGGGGAAAGGATGAGAGTGTGATAAGTAATAGGTTGGTGAATAGAGTGAGACAGTGTAAGAAACAAAATGTTAAGTTTGACAACAGTAAGAAATGAATATGATTAGACTGTCAGGGAGATTAGGAGATTGTGCCTCAGTTGTGCTTTAATATGTATTTTGATTCAGTTGGATGAGTCAACCTTTCTGAATTTCTAAGTAACTTTCCTCTCCCCCTCCCCCACCTCCCATTCCCCAAATAATTCAACCGGGAGCTCTTCGTGCATTGTAATCTTTGGTAAAACCTGCGCAGGATGTAGCTCTATTCTTTGTCATGGGGGACATGAGTCATGATTATAGGAATATTATCCAAATGGGCACTTATGGGGGGAGAGTGAGGGGGAATGGTAACATGCCATATTCCTGGTACCTGAAGGAACTTGACCAACTTTTGGTGCCCTGGCCCTTCAGTGGCCTGAACCATAGTTTCATTTCTATTCCTAAGCCCTTTCCTTTCTCTACTCTTATGATCTTCTGCAACCTGCTGTGGTATTATCAGAAAGTTGTATTTTGGCACAGTAACATTTTAGTGGGAATATTCAGATAATTTGAGTTGTTAACAATTAATTGAATTTTTTTTTTACTTTTCCATGCATATTATAGATACATTCTCTAAAGTAAATAATAAGCTTCCTGATGGCAAGGACTGTACTGTTCTATTTTTTTTATTTAATCCTCATTACCTAGTAATATCTTCACACAGTAATGAATGTTGGTTGAATTGAATTGAGGAGAGACAACCATACTGGTAGGAGAATCAGAAGTATGTCAGAATGACCAGGAGAGGAGGTAGCATTCAGTGGTGGCAAATGTTATGGAAAGGTCAAGGAAGAAGAGGATAGTGGAAAGACCCAAGTACCTTTGGTGGTACTTGTAGTGGAGAATATTCAGATACTTGAGAAAGTTATTTTTAATTGTTTTTGTGTACTCAGAATACCCTTTTACTTATGCTAATTACAAATTGGATTTTTATTCATTAAAAGTTCTTCTAAGAATCTCTATCAAGCTTTATTAACTAGCTTCAATACTTATTTCAAAAAGCAGTAAAGCTACATTTTGTTTAAAATATTTTATAATTAGGACTGTACTTAATTTGAAATGAGTTCTGAGAAAAATATAAAATTGAAATTTCCTCTAGAAATGTTTAGCAGTCAGAACAAGACCCCAGCTCTGGCAGGTTTCCTACCCCTAATTTTATTTAATTTTAAAAGAAAGGAGTACCTTTATTTGTTTTTTACCTTATTTTTATCGTATCTTGTTTTTACATTGCCTTTGTGTATGCATCTATCCCTCTACTCACCCAGGGAGCCAACCCATGTAACAAAGATTAAAAAAACAAAGATGGGGACAGAGGAAAAGTAGTTCAGTAACACTAACCCACCTGTCATTTTTGTCCAAAAGCAAATGTAGTATTCTATACCAGGAGTATAGTATTCTGTACTAATCCTTCTCCTCAGGAAGTCTTGGTGGAATGGTCTTTTTTATGCTAATGATTGAATAAATTGTTGATCTTCCTGATTAATTAATTGATCAAATCATTATAGAACATAGCACTAGTAAGACTCAAGGGATACAAATAAAGTAGAATATATAAATCTTATCTTTGTGCTTATCTCCTAATTTCACAACCTAATTAGGTAGAGATTAGATATGCAATTTTGTAGGCATAATGCAAAAACAATATATAAATTATATGGTATGGATTTATATATAAATGCTTAGGAACCTTAACATAAGAAGACCTTAAATAAATTTAAAGTAGCAGGATGCCTTGTGGCATGAGAGTTGGGGTTGTTGGGGTTTTTTGTTGTGATTTCCATAACGGCTTCCAAGTGGATAATTTTTTTTTTTTACTTTTTTACTTACAATTTACTTAACCACTTAAATTGGAATTCAATAATCATCTTTCTTCTTGAATTGGATGGCACAAGTAACTCAAATAATTTTTTTTCTCTTTTAAAAAAATGTGTGTGTGTGTATTTAGCATTCTTTCCTTTTAAACTTTTGAGTTCCAAATTCCCTCCCTCCCCCCCAACTGAGAAAGCAAGCAATATAGTATCAGTTATATATGTGTGAAATCATACAAAACATTTCCATATTAGCCATATTTTTAAAAAGCAAGATAAAGAAGTGAGAAAATTATACTTCAATTTGCACTCAAGAGTTTATCAGTTCTCTCTCTTGAGGTATATAGCATTTTTTCATCAGGAGTCCTTTGGAATTGTCTAACTCAAATCAAGCAATAAAAATATCAGATTCATGTATGTGAACATTCCCACTGTTAGGAAGGAAAGCTTACTGTTGGACTTAGGACTGTATCATTTAACTTCTCTGCCTTAGATTATCTAAAAATGGGAGCAATAACTGCACATTTCTACTCAGATATTGTGAAGATGGATGAAGTAAAGTAGTTAGAAGATGATGTATGTAGAAAGGTCAAGGTTAATGAAAAACAACAATATTAATTATTTCCTGGAATCAGATGTACAGCAAAACTTACTGTAAAAATTTTTTCCACAGTTTCCTGCTTTCCCTCTAATCTTGGCTCTAGACCACTATCAGTTTATTGTGAAACAAAATCTTTAAGATAAATCTAAAGGGTTAATATTTTCACCAGTTCCTTGATTGATTCTTTTCTTTTAGACCTGAATAATCTGGCTGCTACGGCACAGGTTTTAGTAATTGGAGCTACCAACAGACCAGACTCACTGGACCCGGCGTTGAGACGTGCAGGAAGGTTTGACAGAGAAATTTGCTTGGGTATTCCAGATGAAGCATCCAGAGAAAGGTGAATTCTTTGTTTTTTAAAATTGTTATTTATTTTTAACATTGATTTAAAAAAAATTCTGAGTTCTGAATTCTCTCCTCACATATTGTGAAGGCAAGAAATGTGATACCAGTTACACAAATGAAATCATGCTAAACATTTCCATATTGGCCATATTAAAAGAAAAAAAGCAAGAAAAATAAAGTGAAAAAATTATGCTTTAATCTGCATTCAGACTCCCATCAATTCTTTCTCTGGAGGTGAATAGCATTTTTCATCTTGGGTCCTTTGGGATTGTCTTGGATCATTTTTTTTATCAGAATAGCCAAGTCATTTGCAGTTGATCATCTTTATGATATTGCTGTTGCTGTGTACAGTGTTCTCCTGCTTCTGCTCACTTCACTTTGTATCAGTTCATTTAAGTCTTCCCAGGTTTTTCTGAAACCAATCCTACTCATCATTTCTTATAGTACAATAGTATTCTTTCTATATAGTCATATAGTACAGTCATATAGTACACTTGTTCAGCCACTCCCCAGTTGATGGGCATCCCCTCACTTTCCAATTCTTTACCACCACAAGAAGATGTGCTGTAAATGTTTTTGTGCATATGGGACCTTTCTAGCAGTGGTATTGCTGGGTCAAAGGGTATGCACAGTTTTATAGACCTTTGGGCATAGTTCCAAGTTGTTCTCCAGATTGGTTGGATCAGTTTATAACTCTCCCAACAGTGCATTAGTGTCTCAATTTTTCCACTTCCCCTCCAATATTTGTCATTTTCCTTTCCTATCATATTAATCAATCTGATAGGTATGAGGTGGTACCTCAGAGTTGTTTTCATTTGCATTTCTCTGGTCAATAGTGATTTAGAACATGACTTTAGATAGCTTTGAATTCTGAAAACTACCTATTCATACCGTTTGACTGTTTATCAATTTGGGAACAACTCATATTCTTATAAATTTGACTCAGTTCTCTATGTATTTGAGAAATGAGGCCTTTATCAGAGAAACTTGCGGTAAAATTTTTTCCCACAGTTTCCTGCTTTCCTTCTAATCTTGGCTGCATTGACTTTGTGCAAAAAGTTTTTAATTTAATGTAATCAAAATTATCCATTTTACATCCTGTGTTCCTTTCTATCTCTTGTTTGGTCATAAATTCTTCCCTTATTCATAGATCTTTTTTTCTTTTTTCTTTTTTGGCTTTTTGGTGAAGCGATCAAGGTTAAGTAACTTGCCCAGGGTCACACAGCTAGTAAGTGTTAAGTGTCTGAGGCTGGATTTGAACTCAGGTCCTCCTGACTCCAAGGCCAGAGCTCTCTTCCCTGCGCCACCTAGCTGCCCCGTCCATAGACCTTAAGGTAAATTTTTCGAAGATGACTTTTGTACTTGTAATCTAGAATTAAAAATACAGTTTTCCATTCCTAGGCTGCCAGGTAGCTTTGAAAAGAATCACAAAACGTTAGAATTGGAAAGGATTTTTGAGGTCATCAACTCCAAAGTCATAAGTTACTTATTATGTAAAACATTGGTACTAATAGTCAAAAGTTTGTTTTTTTGGACAAATATCCAAAGATCATGTATAGCAGTAGTGTAAGTCAAATAGAAACAGATCCCTGCAGGCTGCATACTGAACACTACAAATTATTACCTATGTTTTATTGTATTTTTATTTATTTTGTTTAACTTTTCCCAGTTAATCTGGTTCAGACAACACCTGTATTGTGTAACAGTAAAAAGAATGTTGAAGATGACATTTTTGACATACAACTAGTAGAGCAAATGCTTCTGGTCATTTTTTCTGATGATAAATTTCCATCCATGTAATGTCTACCCTTATGGCAAATACTTTACACTTACTAATTGTGTACTAATCAGGTTAGGGGATAATCAGGATATGAAAAAGAACCAAACACCCTACATGTAGCTTAAATTTTGGCATCGTGAGTATCATTTATTTGGTCATTCAACAAACATTTATTAGGCTACTTTTGTATATGGTGCCCCGTGTACCCAGAATATTTTTTCCCAACTAATATGCAGCAGTATGTTGTTTGTATCTCCCTAGTATATATTGAGGAATATGCACAGACTAATAAGACATTGTCCTTGGACTAATAAGACAAGACTTTTGTAGTACAGAAACTTAACTTACAGTCTAACAACTGTATTGTAAACAGTTAGACTGACTACATCATAGCTCCTCTAGCCAGTAGTGTTATCAGTCAGTCAGTAAATATTTATTAAGCACCTACTATATGCCAAGTGAAAAGTGAAAGACTGTTCTTGCCTCAGGGGAACTCATAATCTAATGGGGAGCAGGAGGGGAGTTATCAGGAGGAGTAGATGATTGGTAGTTAAATGGAGATTTGAATAGAACTCAAGGCCTGCAGTCTGAAAGACCCGAGTTCAAATTCGACCTCAGACACTAATGGGTGTGACCCTGGGCAAGTCATTTAACCTTTGTTTGCCTCAGTTTCTTCATCTACAAAATGAGGATAATAATACCACCTACCTCCCAGGGTTGTTGTGAGGATGAAATGAGATAGTAATTGTAAAGTGCTTAGCACAGTGCCTGACACATAGTAAGTACTATGCAAATGTCAGTGATGAAGATGATGATGATGTTGATGAAGAAGAAAACCTGCAGCTAGGTGGGAAATGATGAGATGGCTACCCTGAACCACCTCCTTGAATGGAGGATTTGGGGGGGAGCTCTCCAGTGTTTACCCTCCACCTTCTCCAATCAGAGGTATGAGTTTCAGAGTTGATGTAGTGTTGGCAAGAAGGTGAGTTAGTAGAGACAGTGATGTAGTCCAGGAGGTAGAGGTTACAGTACCAGTGATTTTCCCTCACTGGCGGTAAGACTAGTTATGGCGAGGGGAGTGATGGTCTATGTAACAAAGATGTACCTGCCAGAAACATCTGTGTGGCTGGTCTGAAAAATAGGGAGTGCAAGCTTAAAAAAGAAAAAGGATTAAATTGTTACAACAGCAGGGATTGTGTATCTCCCCCATCCATAACACAGTGCTTGGCCACAGTAGGCTCTTAAATGTTTTGTGAATGAATGCATCTGACATGTTAAGTTCCCACCAAATGATATAATTGTGTTGAGAGGGGCCATGGACGTAAAAAGAGATAGAATTTTGGAAGCAGAGGGGGAAAACATATGGAAAGGAAAAATCGGGACAATTAACGAAGCCAGAAGGGGAGAGGAGAGTACAAAAAGAAATCTAATGACACGCCTTTCTTTTTTCTAGCTCTTTCTTTCTTAGGGACTGTGCTAGTTCCTTTCTGCTCTAGTTCCTGTGATCCTAGTTATTCTTTGTTTTTGTACTCAGAGAACCGAGGACTTCACGATGTAGCAGTCAAGGTACAGTGTGTTCAGCTGTGGCTGATCAGTCCAGTATGAGTTTGGAAGGCTCTCCCACAACTAGGGCACAGATAGTCTGTTAAAATATTTGCGATGGAGATCGCTCTAGATTTGCTTATGTCATGTTTCTTTTGTGCTGCTGCGATTCTGCTTTGCTCATAAAGCACAGCACCTTCTTTGATGTGGACATGACATGCCAGGTGGTCCTGTGCCAACATCTTCCATGTCTCACAATTGATACTGAAGTGTTCAGAGAGGTCTTGAGAGTGTCCTTACACCACTTCTTCAGACCTCTATGTGAGCCCTTGCCTTGTGGGAGTTCTCCACAAAACAGCAATTCAGTTCGAGAGAGGACCTCACTGTCCGGTACCTTATCAGACCAGGTGATCTTTGGAATCTTTCTGAGACAATTCAAATGGAAACTGTTTAATTTTCTGGCGTGGCACTGGTATACTGCCAGGCTTCATAGGCATACAACAATGATGTCAACAGAGTGGCTCTGTAGATCTTCAGTTTGTTAGGTGGCCTAACACCTCTTTTCTCCTACATTTTCCTTCAGAGTCTCTCAAACACTGGAACAGGGGTAGGGAACCTGTGGCCTCAAGTCACATGTGGCCCTCTAGGTCCTCACGTGTGGCCCTTTCACTGAATCCAAGTTTCACAGAACAGATCCCCTTTATAAGAGGATTTGTTCTGTAAAACTTGGACTCAGTCAGAAGACCGCACCCGAGGACCTAGAAGGCCACGTGTAGCCTCGAAGCGACAGGTTCCCTACCCCTACACTGGAACCATTGGTTTCAGCAAATGGATAAATTCTGAATTCTGTGGATAAGTTTGCTTACTTACAACAGGGATGTCCACATAATTGATGAGGTTGATACACACAAGATTCTAGTTAAAGTACATATAAATATACATCTGACTGTGTGACTACAGCGTAGTGGTGGGTTTTTTGGTTTTGTATTGTTTTGTTTTATTGGAAAGACAACATGTTGTAATAGAGAATAGAACTGAATTAGAAGGACCTGGGTTCAAATCCCACCTCCAGTATATACAGGCTGTCATCCTTAGCTAGTAATCTCTCTTTACCACAGGCAGCTCTCTAATAACATGTACAGTGCTTTTCAAGTTTTATACATGCTACCTCTTGCTATTACTGTTGTCGTTTTAAATTGCAGAACAGTTGCTCATCTGTAATGGTAGAAGAAACATAGTGCCCAGGGTGTCACAGCTAGTAAGGGTATGAGGCTAGATTTGAACTCAGGTTTTCTTGACTCCAGGTCCAATGCTGTATTCACTGTGTCACTAGCTGCTTATTAATAATTATTGAATGCACACTCTGGGTATAGTACTGCACCAGACCATATGGGAAATAGAAATGAAGCATAAGATAACTCCTGCTTTGAAAAAATTTATAAAGTAGTCAGAAGTAGAAGAGTTCACATGAAATATTTAAACAGCAACACAAAGACACTTCATAAATAAACTAAAAAGATAAACAGACTTAGGAAATTAGGAATTGCCAAAAGTCTTCAAACCTGTGGTCCATCTTGCCTAATATTCTGTTTTTAACAGTTTGTGGTTGGGCATGACTGAATGTCCTAAATCCAGTTCTCAGTAGAAGCTGGTTGTTGAGGTAGAAATGATAGGAAGTGACCACTGAGATATGACAAAGGAGAGAAAACCTAGGCATTGTCTGGTATGTACCCTAGGCTTTAGGAAAGCATACTTCACAGGGTGCAGAAGAAAGGTAGGATTTTATTGAGTAAAATGCCTCAGGGACATCAGTCCAAAGGAATAGGAGATACTCAAGAATATTATAAAGACATAAAGAGAAACAATTCCTGTGGAGGAAGAAGAAAAATGGGATTTATCTGAAAAGATCAGTATAGGATACATAAGGAACTCCAACCAATTTACATTTTAAAAAGAGATGTGAAGAAGGTGGGTGCCAGGCCAAGTAATAGAGGATAAATTTAAGAGTGTGGCATGGTCCTGTAAAAGTAGTTATAAGGAGAGCCAAAGCTTAGAATAGCCTTAGCTGCTATGGGGAGCTAAAGATAACAAAGAGGGATTTTAGTATTGGGAGAAAAAGGAGAATCAAATGGATAGGATCTCTGCTGGGCATGGATGGGATGATAACTGACAACAGAGACAAGGCAGAAATGCTCAATTTTTATTTTTTTCTGTTTTCTCTGAAAAGGAGAGTAACCTAAGTTTCCTTGATGAATTCAGATGACCTGGAGAGGAGTAGAAACCAGAAATATTGCAAAAGTAGCATCCACAGGACTTGGCAATAGTTTGGTTATTGGGAATGAGAGAGTAAGAGAGTTGAATGACAACTAGGTTGCGAATTTGGGTGACTGGACCAGGAGGATGGTGATGCCCTCAAAGGTAATAGAGAAGTTAAGAAGAAGGGAAGGTTTGGAGGAAAAAGATAAAAAATTCAGTTTTGGACATGTTCAGTTTAAGTTGTCTACAGGACATCCAGTTGTGGAGCTATCTAAAAGACAGTTTTAGGTGTGAGACTAGAGGTAAGGAGTCAGGTTAGGGTGAGATAAATAGTTCTGACAATCATCTGCAAAAACATGATGATTGAAACCATAGTAGCTGATGAGATCACTAAGGGAATAACATAGAGGGAGAAGAAAAAAAAAGAGGGCCCAGGATTGTTGTTGTTGTTTGTGCTTCATTCTCAAAGAGGATCATGATATCAATAAGCAGATGCCATGACTTGCAAGTGAAAAGTGAGGAAGGGCTTTGCAAAGTCACCAGCCTCACTTTCTCCTCCGGAGCCATCTGGGCCAGTGGCCAGTTATAGATCGACTGGATAGAGCATTGGGGGATACTTCGAACTGATGTGTATGATATGGATGGAAGATACAGCAGAACAGCATGAGAAAGAGTGATTAGACAAATAGGGGAAAGCCTTGTCTTGAAAACTAGAAAGAAGTGGAGAAAGAAAGTAACTGACAGTGACAAAGTGTGCAGAGAAGTCAAAAGCGAGTGAGAAAAGGCCCTTAGATTTGGTACTAGGAGATTACTGGTAACTTTGGGTAGAGCAGGTTCAGTTTAATGATGAAGTCTACCTTGCTACTTTTTGGTGTTTACTTATTAACCTTAAGCTTTAACTTTAAGTTAAAATTTAAGGCAATTACTATCTCTTAATAACTTGCTAATACTACTCAACTTATTTTCTTTAGTCTTAGCTACAGTTCCACAGCCACACCTTCCTCCCCTTAAGCCTTAAACCAGCTTTTTATCTCTTTCACTAATTTCCCCCACTTTATAACCTATTCCATTAATCTTCTTTTCCTTTTGTAGTCTTCCTCTTTGGGTTCTTCTCATTAATTATCTTTGATCCTCAATACTCTTGAGGGGCAACTAGGTTGTTCAGTGGCTAGAGTGCTGGGCCTGGAGTCAGGAAGACTCATTTTCATGAGATCAACTTTGGGCCTCAAATACTTAACTAGCTGTGTGACCTTGGACAAGTCACCTAACTCTGTTTTGCCTTACTTCCTCATCAGTAAAATGAGCTGGAAAAGGAAATGGCAAACTATTCCAGTTTCTTTGCAGAGAAAACCTCAAATGGGGTCTACAAAGAATTGGACACAACTGAATAATATAAATCCTCTTTAGTCTGTTTATATCCTATTTAATTTGCCTTTAGTCCAGTATTTGGACCTGGGGATTGTTTTTCAGATTTTCCTTAATTTCTGCCAAAATTTTCCTCCCTAAATTCAATTTCTGACCAATTTCAGTAGTCCAAACCCTTCTATCTCACCTATATAATTGCCTTTTTATCAGTTTAAGCCCTTTACTCATCTTTTGCTCCTTGTCTCACAATCTTTTCCCTTGGAATCCAGAAATAGTTTAGCAGCTCTAATCTGAATTTAATTCCTCTTATCACTGTGCCAAATGTTTTCAGAAAACTTGCTGAATCTTCTTGGTGCAGAACTTGGAAACCAGTCATTAGGCCATGGATTATTAATTGGAATTTAAATATTTATATTCATAGAACTTTTTAAAATGGAAGTGTAGGGTAGAGAAATCAGATAAGATTGCATTCCTAGCAATGAAGTTTATCTCATCATTAACCTTGGAAGTTACTTCTCATCAACTCTGTTTCTACTGTTGTAGAAAAATACTGAGACCTGCATTGGTGTAGGGAGTTTGCTTATCTGGGAATTCCCTATACCAGGGACGGGTAGAATGCCACATGTGGCTTTTAGGTTACAAGTTCCCCATCCCTGTCCTGTACTAATGAAATCATAAGTTCAGTCCCTATCTCTGCCTCTTTGTATTTATTCTATCTATACTTATGTATTCATGTGTCTTCCCTGTTAGAAGGTAAGCTCCTTGATGGGGATTGTTTTACAGTCTTAGTTGCCTGGAGACTTGGCCAGGGTTATATAGTGTCAGCGGGATGGAACCAGCTTTTAACTTGTGAGTGGCCATAGCCGAACACAGCAGGCTAGAGACAGGAGAGTCAGGAATGAAACAGAAGTTTAATTTCAGAAGAGGGGAAATGGCTTGCAAGAAAGGACACATGTGCCGGAGCCCTACCCTAGTGGGTAAGGAGGCAGGGTGGGGAGATCTCAATACTTATACCTGTGGTTACAAGGTGAGCTGTAGCCCTGATAGTGAAGCGTAACAGCCATAATGTGACAAGTTTGATTCATAGTAGGACTTCATGACCACAAACAGTTTTGGGATTTTGCTGTGGCTGAGATCATCCAGAGGATGAGCGCGAAGGATTGCTGTTATGCCAAGTTCAGGGCACAGCCTGCTTGCTGAGCCTTAACTCTGGAAAATGGGGTGTCCCCTAATATCTTGACAATAGCTAGTATATGCAAGAGGCAGGACTTGAACCCTGATCTTCCTGGCTTTGTGGTTTGCTCCCTATCCTCTGTGCCATTTTGGCTCTTGTGTAAAAAATAAATAAATGCAAAATAGGGACGGTCACACTAGAAGTTGGGGGTATCCGAATAAGATTCCTCTTTTTGTCATCTTACCATAGTACTCTGGAATCATAAATGGTCGTTAATTATTTGGATTGGATTGAGGTGTGATGAATTTGATTTTTTGGCCTTCTAGCATCTTGAGAGTTAATTTTAATTTAATAGATAATTTTATATATTTAAAATGGATCCCGGAATTTTTACCTCCTGCTTCTCCCCTATGACAGAATTCTTCAGACTTTATGCAGAAAGATGAAGCTCCCTGAGGCTTTTGATTTTCATCACTTAGCCCACCTTACACCAGGCTATGTTGGTGCTGATCTAATGGCACTGCGTCAAGAAGCAGTCAGCTGTGCGGTTGACAGGGTCTTGTTAAAGCTGAACATGTTGGAGCAAAAAGATGTCCAGTCTGGAGGTGTGACAGCTGAGGGAAGCCAGGTAGAGCTAATGGAAACAGAAGATGGTTCAAAACCACAGGACCTTCCTGTAAAGGTATTGTAAATAGCTACACACTTTCTTACTTTTGCCCTTTATTTTAATTAAGTCAAGCCAGTTTATGTTTATGAGGCTCCCTATTCATTGGCATAGTTGCATGAAGCAGTCAGTTGTTTACTTAAAAATTGTAGGAAAGTCTGTTACTCAAAAAAAATTACAATTCTTTCTCTATGATTTATTTTGAGTAGATTGGATCTACAGCAGCCTATACAACTGCAGGGCTTTTAAGCAATTTAGGCTTGTTTTTCAGTGGACTTTCATGGTTGGTTTAAGGTAACATTCCCTCCTGTCATAGCCGCAGTACCTGTTTCAAGTCAGATACAGTCCTGAAGTCAGGCACAATAATCTCAGAAGAATATCTATCAAGCAGAAGCCTTTTCCAGGATTAGTACTTAATGAAAATTTTGAAAACAGTTATAGGATCTAGATTTAGATGAGTTGGGTGTTTAGAGATTATGAAGCCTTTATTTTATAACCAGAGAAAGCCCCCGGAGGTGAAATAGTAAAGCGGCAGTTTGTATTTGACCCCAGGTCTTCCGACACCAAATGCAGTCTGTACCATTCTGTATTTGATCAGCTCTTATTGAAAACTACAAGGAAACTCTGTTTTAAGTAATTCTGTTCAACAGTCATTCATTATGCAGTTGATTAGTTATTGGAAATACGATCCATATACAGATTCATCCAGTACAGAATTGGTCCAGTGGGGGTAAAGGAGAGAGCAGATCAGATTTGAGGAGAAGAAAATTTGGAAATCGGCAAATTTTAGAGAAAAAATCCTTTCATTGAGGGGAATTAGGGAAAATTACATGGAAGAAGTGGTGCCTGAGTTGAGGCTTAAAGGGAAATAAACTTGGAGAATTCTTACCAAGCAAAAATTAGGTGACCCAGGTTAGTTATTGAGAATGTTGTAGAAGGAATCCTTATTCATGTACGAATTAGACTAGATGGATTCTGAGGTCCCTTCTGATTCTTCAAATATGCAAAAGTTAATTGTTAATGAAATTCTTATAAATGTAATCACCTTTAAAATCTTTAGGGGGGGAGAATTGTTTTAAGGAAGCCCATGGTATATTCTTTCATAAAACATAAGATCCTTTCTAAAATTAATATATGGTCCATTTAATAATTCTGTAATCCTTTACTTGGCCTTCTGTTTGTAATGTGCACATTTCTTTTTTGTTTTGTTTGTCTGTTTTTGGCAAGGCAGTTGGGGTTAAGTGACTTGCCCAGGGTCACACAGCTAGTACATGTCTAGTGTCTGGTCTGAGACTGGATTTGAACTCAGCTCCTCCTGACTCCAGGGCCTGTGCTCTATCTGCTGTGCCACCTGGCTGCCCCAATATGCACATTTCTTAAAGCTTCTCTGCTGTTTGAAAGTGTAGAATTTTTAAAACTAGTGTTCACCAAATAGGAATTCCCACTTTAAGGAAACCTGATATTTCAAAATGTAAGCTTAACGAACAGAGAAATGAAAGGATAATAATTGACATTTCCATTATACCCTATATATGTACCTGTGCTTAGACAGGCTGGTCTCACTGTCCAATAAACTTTCCTGCCTTTATTCACATTTTTCTGTCTTTCCTTTTCCTCTTCACCCATCCAAATCCTATGTAGTCATTTACTTCCTCCACTAGACTCTTACCCTTATAGTTTGTAGGCACTACGTACTGAAGGTAGTGTATGCCAGAGCCTGTCAAGCCTTTGTGTGAGAGGTTGCCTCAGATGTCATTTAATTGTAGAGGGAAAGGAACCTAAAGTCATTTGATCTGGTCTTCTGTCTGTATCATGGTTAATATTTAAACCATCAAAGGCTGATGGTTATGCATCTAGTTTTAAAAGCTATTCTGGGATTGTTTTATAAACCTCTTCTAAGTTAATGTAATACATACTCTTTGGTTGATTGGTGGTGATTCCACAGGTTTTTATAAGAAAACCTTTTCTGTTTAAAATAGTTGCGAAGAAATCATGTATTTTATATGCTTTTTCCTTTTACAAATATAAATTTGCTGCAATTTTCCTTTTTCCACGTGATTTCCCTTCTTAGGCACATATTCTTTTAAACTACATAATTAACTACTCGTCTCACTCTTCTGTACATTTCTTAGTTCCTGCTATGCTATATTTCCAGGATTGGAGATTTCATTCCTTGTCGTGATAGCCCATTTTACTTACCCTTGCAGCTAGTTAGCTCTGTGTCTACTTGAGTGCTCAATACTGTTATGTTAAGTGTATTTCCTTCAGTGTATTTTGTCCTTTGTGAAACTGAAGAATAATAAAACAGCTTCAGAGTAACTCTCCATATATTTGGAGACAGTCATATTACTTTTACTATTGGGGAGCAATTAACTTATTATTGAAATATTTTCCTGAAGGCTGTACATTTGTTGGCATGTTGTTTTTGTTTTATTTATTGTACTTATATCCCCCTAGCAGCTAGTACACTGCCTGGCATTGTATATGTAGTAGGCATTTAATAAATGTTTGATTGATTATATAAAAATTAGTGGAGGACCGTTTCATTGCAGTGGCACCATGTCAAATATATGATGGTGTCAATTTAGGAAAACCATTAGTTTGTAAAGAAGCTTATTTTAGCTTCCAGAGAAGCAACAACAGATGTCTTGGGGTGATGGAGGGTGTTACATGAATATAAAAACATAGATGTGATCTTTTCAGTAAACTCTAAATGATCTCTGATTCTCTCCTCTCTCCCTGCCTCCCCCATACCTCCTATCTCCAAGAATGAATTGCTGAGACTACTAGAGTTGCTAAAGGACCAAAACTCCATCCCAGAAGAGCAGCTGCAAATGCTGTGCATAGAAATGAATGATTTCATTATTGCTTTGTCCAAAGTACAGCCTTCTGCTAAGAGAGAAGGCTTTGTCACTGTTCCTAATGTGACATGGTCAGATATTGGAGCCCTGGAAGATATTCGAGAAGAGCTCACCATGGCAATATTGGTAGGTGTGTCTGATGTTAAATCGTGTGAAGCAGTCAGAGGCAGAGATTCACACCACTATATTCTGATGTGTACATGGCTATCTTGGCTCTTCATTTTTATTTTAGGGGTCCTAGCAAACTAAATTAACACGCTACCCCGGGAGTGATGTGTGCTTTTGATACTTTCCTTGGATTTTTCTTTATTTTTAGTTTGTGATTATATGTGTCTGTGACTTAACCAAAGACACATGAAGTTTCATTTTGAGACCAGATTCTTAAGTTAGTGTTTCTGAAATGGAATACATTTAAAAATAAAAATTAATTTTAAATTAACTCTAACTTTTAATTTTTGTATTAAATTTCTATTTCTGTTCTTATTAATCAGCTTTAATAATAATTGAAATCAAATCTATTATTAAAATATTCTAAAAAAGAAGGATAAGAAATGGATATCGGTTTAAATTGCCGAGAGAGTATATCAGGCAGGTCTCTGCTACTCTGATTTGTATAAACTTTACATTTTCCAGAAACCTAAGTGATTTCTCAGATCTCTGTAACAAGCATTTTTATAAATAGCACCTTAGAGGCACATGGTACATTTGAGCCCATTTAACAACTATGTCTTTAGTCGTTTTGATAGGAACATCAAGACTGCAAATCACTAGCTCCATTGGGGGCCATGTTGGAAAATGATTAATAATTAAAATATATTGGGATTTTTGTTTCTAGGCCCCGTTGCGTTATCCAGATCAGGTTAAAGCTCTTGGATTAATGACTCCAGCTGGTATCCTTCTTGCCGGGCCACCAGGCTGTGGCAAGACCCTCCTGGCAAAGGTGGGTATTCAGCTGCATATTTTTGTATGTTACATCTGAGAATGAATGAAAAATGAAACTGACCCTAACTTAATAGCACTTTTACTATGTACCATGATACTTATGAGCCATTGTCTTATTTTAGCTATTCCACTTTGAAGAGCATGTCCTTGATACTTTCAGGACTCTTTTTCTGGTATTACAAGTAAAACTTTTGAGAACTTAGAAGTGATAGAGGAAAGCTGTTTGGGACTAAAATTATGTAGCAGTAGATCTGTAGATCCTGTATTTCTCTGGTCATAATTGCACTCAGGACTTTTAAACAAGTGTGTCATAATGACATGGTTGCTTTATTTTTTGTCTTTACTCAGTGGTTTCAATCACGTCCAGCTCTTTGTGACTCCATTTGGGGTTTTCTTGGCAAAGATACTGGAGTGTTTTGTTATTTTCTTCTCCAGTTAATTTTGTAGGTGAATTAACTGAGACAAACAGGGTTAAGTGACTTGCCCACTAATAAGTCTCTGAGGCTGGATCTGAACTCATTTCTTCTTGACTCTAGGTCTGGTCCTCTATCCACTGCACCACCTAGCTGCCCTGCTTTGTTTTACGTGTTGCTAAATTCTGTGTAATGCTTTTTTAAAAAAAAAAGTTACTGATAACTTTGTTAATAGTCAAGTGGGATAAATAATTTGTAATCCATAATTTTTTTAATTTTTAATTAATTTATTTTGAATTATCAGTAATCACTTCCATAAGCTTTGGAGTTTTAAATTTTTCTCCCCCTCCCCAAGATGGCACCCAAATCCATAATTTTAAAAACTTCATTTTAGCCCATAGCTTTTAATACTCTTTTTGTTACTACACCTTTGTTTATTCAACTAACAAAATAATGATGTACTCCTTATACAGCCATCAGATTTCCAGCATCTCAGTTTGAAACTTAGAAATAAGTCAGAAGGCATTGATTAAGACTCAGTGTGCCAGGCACTATGCTCAGCATTACAGAACAAAAGGAAAAAAAAATCCCAGATCTCAAAGAGCTCACATTCTAATGGAAAAAGCCTCAAGATGACATAGTAAAATAGTCTTCATGAAGCCCATGTTCTTTGCTCCATGGAAAGGCATGGAGCTACCTACTCACTTTGAATTCTCTGTTAAAGCTTTCCAATTAAAGTTGATTGGTGTGATTTGTCTCAGAATTCTTCAGTTTTTCTTAGTTGAGAGTAAACAGCCTAAGAGAAGCAACTGAAGGAATGTGAGATAGGGTGGGCTACTCGTACCTGATGACATAAATGACAACTAGCAGTCAGGGAAAAGGTAGTAGAGGCAATGAAAGCAATTTTTGAAAAACTATTGATGTTATCCATTTTTTACATCACCATAGTATCTCATGTATCCTTCCTCCTTCTCTTCTCTCCATCCCACATGACAAATAGTATTTGTTTTGGAGAAGAAACAAAAGTTAGGACACTTGATCGGTACATTGAGAAAGTCCAAAAATGTGTAGTCTGTAACACCTATGAAAGGGAGTCAGTTGGAGGTATCTTCACTTGAGTTCCATTTGATCTTTACAATTTTGTTACATTAAGGTCACATATCCATTGAAACTATTGTGGAGTGTGGTGTAAGATGTTGGTTTAAGCCTAATTTCTGCTGGACTGTATATCCCTTGTCTTCCCTGTTCTCTTGATGTTTCTCTTTCTTCTTTAACCAATACCAGATCAAAACTGATGACTGGTGCTTTAAAATATAGTTTGAGGTCTGAAAGTGCTATTCCCCTTTCATCTTACTTCTTTTCATCATTTCTCTTGATTTTCCAGATCTTGTGTTTTTCAAGGTGAATTTTGTTATTATTTTATCTAGCTCTGTGAAGGTCCTCTTGATAATTTGATTGATAACATCATTAGAAGTATAAGTTAATTTTGTTAGTATTATCATTTTTATTATATTGGCACCATGAGCACTGAGTATTCCTCCAGTTCTTTAGGTTGCTCTTTCTTCAATTCTTTAAGGAGTCCTTTGTAATTGAATCTTTGCAAGTCTTGTATGCTCTGGGAGGCTGATCCTCAGGGGTTTTTTTATGCGTTTTGAAGTTACTGGAAATGTAACAGAAGCAATGATTAAAGTGTTTTCAGGGTAACCCATGAGTGAAAAACCGCTATGCAATTTCAGTAGCTCTTCAGAGTATTGTTGTACCGTAGTTAATGTTTGTAAGGATAGTTGTGATGGACAAGTCACTTGACTTGTGCCCCAGGCAATTGTAAAAGACTGTTAATTTCAGATGACATACTAATCTTTATCAGTGGAGGCAGGTAGCATACAGTTTCACACAGTAATAATCTCAAGTTTTGACACCTTTAGTATATATAGTTTAAGAAAGTACAGGAGTTTTTTTTTAAATTATTTTAGAAAGATTTCAGAAACAGGCATAATAGAAAAGTTCAAGAATGTAAGGATTAAACTTAGTTGTCTACAAAATTCACTTGTATGTAGCATGCCACATTCCTAATTGCTAGCTGAAGGAGGTATTATTTTAATATTTCAAAAGACTTATATTTTTATTATTGTTTATATTCTGTTCTCCTATGCAGATCACAACCCTTGGTAAATGATTTTCATGAGTTGCTGTGGCCCAGGAAAATTCATTGCTTGCTCCTAACACTTCTAGTGATAAAACTTTCCATAAACTTTTAAGTTTAGAGGCTTGCCCTCAAACAACACATAGCCCATCGTCCAGCACAGGAGGTACCAAATCCTTTCCAAACTGGTTGGACTTGTCAGAGATTGTGCTGCAGTGGCTTTAAAGACTCTACTATCACCCCATCCCACCCCAGTGAAGAATGAGAGTTAAGACTAGAATGAGATCTTTGAATTTCACTTCTCCTTCCAAGCCTGATTAGTTGAAAAAGCCAAAATGCAGCAAGAAATATGTAATCATAGATTTTTAGATGTGGAAAGGATCTTGGACATTATCTAATCCAACCACCTCATTGTATAAATAAGGAAACTGAAGCCCAGAGAGGTTATATAACTTGCTCATTAAGGTCTCTTTCACTTAGTTGCTTTACACAATTCTCCAATTGCCTTGTATTGTTTGGAAGTATAATTGTAAGAATGAGATAGATTTAAAGGAAATTATTGTGCCAAAGTTCTGATGCAGTCTATTTAACAAGATTCATTTCTGTGTTTGGATTCTGGTTCCAGGCTTGTTCTGTTCTCAATAGCCATGTGTTATCCTTCAACTCTATCTTATATAACTTTTCTTTAAACCTATGTCAAAATTATGTTTTAACATATACTGTCATTTATGTAGTTTTCAAACTCCATTTTTTTCCCAAAGAAATGTAGGCATTTTAAATGCAAAACTACTACCTTCAAAAGAAAACCTTTTGAGAAGGAAGTATTTATTACCCCTTGAATAAATATTAATACAATAGACTTCACTAGAATTTTCGCCAAGGGCCACATCCAAACTTGTGAAATGGAACCAGGAATATATTTGTTGTTTTGCTTATAATTTGTGTTATTTGAATATAGTTCATAGGCTGTTTAGGTTGACATTTTATTACTGCCTTCCTTTAATTTGGTTCTACCCCATTTTTTCCTGTTCATTCACTGTAATTTACTGAGATCCCTGAAGAAGGGGGTGATAAATACAACCATAAGAATGATTGGGAAAAATAATAAGGGCAACAAAAAAATTTGCCATGCAGTAAGTAATATTCAGCTTATTTGTTTCACTTTCATTTTTACAGGCTGTTGCAAATGAATGTGGACTGAATTTTATTTCTGTGAAGGGCCCTGAATTGTTAAATATGGTGAGTAATATTAATGGCATTAGCCAGTGATTGAGATCTCTTTAATTAATATCCTAGGAAAAGTAAAAGTAATTCTAATTACAATATAAAGTATCTAAATGTCTCAAACACAGAATTCTTCATTTTTAAAATTTCTTGCTACATAATAATCCATTATGTTCATATGCTTTTTTTTAAAAAAAAACTTTTCTCAGTTAATGAACAGCTACTGTAATGTGTGCTCCATTATTCATTCATTCATTTCTAGTTCTTTGTTATGTCTGAAAGTGCTTTTATAAATGCTTTTATAAATATTTTGTCACATATTGGACCTTTGTTTCTGTCTTTAACTGGTAATAGAATTTCCGGTACCAAGATTATGGACATTTTAGTTATTTTGCTTGCATATTTCCAAATTGATATCCTGAGTAGTCTGACTACTTGACAGCTCTGTCATCATTGCATCAAGGTTCTTTTCTTCCTAGTGCCCCTCCAGCACTGATTGTTCCTATCATTTATCATCTTTGACCATTTTCATAAAACCTCAGTTTATTAATTTGTATTTCTCTTACTGTTAATGATTTAGAGCTTGTTTTCATGTCATCATTTATATTTTGTAATTCTTTTGAAAACTTCGTATTTGTTTACCACTTGCCTGTTGAAGAATAGATGAAATTTTAAACTTAAGAATTTTAGAAGTGGTAGGGTTCTTTAAGATATGAAACCTAACTCAGATTTAACCATGTTTGTATGTGGCTAAATAAGGATAAAGTTTATGGGGTTGAGGGATTGTGTGGTCAGTGGTAGAAGTATTAATGTGATTAGGATTGTGACAAGAGATGTGACGGAGAGAAAGATTATGTGAGTCAAGTTTTAATGCCATCGAGAAATTTAGGAGAATTATCTGTAGATAGAGTATGTGAAAGCTTTGAAGGAAGAAAACAAAAAACAAAACAATTCACTGTCATGTGTGGATCTTGCTTTAACAAGTTGGCTTGCTTAGAAATGACATTACTCCTACACTTAATGATCTTGAATGCATTTCAAATGCTTTTTTGAATTAAGACAGTCTGTATGTGAATCATGATTTAGCAATTCAGATTCATAACATGTGGAAAACTAACTATAATTTAGCTATTATTTTATAGACTTTTAAATTTCTTTGAAAGGGCTTTATTAATTTTATTGATGTCTTTTGTTTTTATCTTACATTCATTTCCAAATCTATACTTCCCTCTCCTTTACCTAGTGCCCCATCCCTTGTAATAAAAAATTTGAAAGAGAAAAACAACACCTTAGTAAGATAACCACTACATTAGCTAAGTCAATTAGGTTTATGGTTTTGATGCCCATTTTCTCTGGGGGTCATAATTACATAAAATTTTCCCTTTATTGTTCTTTGCACTAACATTAATTTAATTTTGTTTATTATTTGCCTGTCTTCACTTTGTACATGCCCATATTGTTTTTTTATGCTTCTCTGAATACTTTATACTCATCATTTTTTACATTTTTGTGCCACATTTTGTCTAGCTGTTCAGTCTGTTGGCATCTGCTTTGTCTCCAATTCTTTGCTACCATAAAGATTACTGCTGTGAATATTTTAACATATGTTATGAGTTTTGTCTTTCTGGATTTTTTACTTCCTTTGGGAGGTAGCATTAGGCTCTCTGGGTCAAAGAGTGTGGACATTTTAGTCTTTTTGTTATTGTTGTTTTAACGTCATTCCAAATTGCTTTCCAGAATCCTTGAACTAGTTCATAGTTCCATCAGTAATGTTTTATGCCTGGTTTTCCATAGCCCTTCCAACACTGCCTGTTTCCATCTTTTGCCATCTTTGCCAATTTGCTAGGTCGGAGCTGAGATCTTGGAGGTGGTTTTTATTTGCATTTTTCTTAGAGATTTGAAGAGGTATTTCATAGAGTTACTAGCTTTCAGTTCTTTTTAGAACTGTTGTTTCATATTCAGTAGAATTTATTAGAAAGTACTAGATTGTTACTCATTTATAATTTTAAGGATATTGATAAAAGGTAGGAAATAATTTTCTTCTTACCCAACTCAGTTATCAGATGAACTGAGAGCATGAATAGGTGATAACACCAGATATAGATAGGACCATTGAATCCATTGCTTCTAGACAATTCCACATTTATTCCACCCCTGAAGAATTTGAACTCAAGTACTCCTGACTCCAAGGCTGGTGCTCTATCCACTCTGCCATCTACCTGCCCCCTACAATTATTTCTAACAGAATGTCTTAACTAGACAGGAAGCAGTTAATAAATGTTTATTATTGAAATAGTGATCTCCTTTGCCTCCTCAGTAAGTTGTTTCAATCTTATAATGCAAATGTTCTTGCTGGATTTTAAATCCATTTCCGTTGTGTCCTTACTAGAAATAGATTCTACGGTAAATCTGCATACCAAATGGTTCCTGGAATGACCTCTGTATGATTTTCTTGGGCAAGCCTCAGATGAAACTGTGTAGAGGAAGAGAACCAGATGAATTTTGTTTTCTTCCGTAAAATCTCTGTGAACTAATTTTCCACTGGACTGCCCTCTTTTGGATTTCACTTGCGCCCACAGGAATCTTATCATCCAGCAAGGTCACATCAGCCTTGGAACTCACACCTCACCAGTATCTTCTGTCCCTGGGACCTCTTTGGAGAGTGGAGTAGAGAACTCCTCACAAACTCTCCGTTTAAAGAGAGTAACTAGGCCAGCCATCTCTGCACTTCCTGTCTAGCCGCGTTCTTTTGGAGTTCTCCATCATGCCTTTCCCTTTCCTCTACCCCTTTTTTGGTATCCTCAGAGCTTAGCACAGTTCCTAGCACATAGAAGATGCGTAATAAATGTATATTGACTGATCTATTCAGATTTTTTTTTCCTGTTGCATTTGTACCTAAGTAATAATTCTGTTTTATGATCAGGCTACATAAATAGGGCATTGAATACATATGTCATAGGTTGCCATTGAATAATAATAAAAATAGCAGTCACGTCAATAATTAAGCATTTATTAATCACCGATGTCCCAGGTTTTGTGCTAAGCACTTCATAATTATTATCTCATTTTATTCTAAGAAGTAGTTACTACTATTCATCCCCATTTTACAGATAAGGAACCTGAGGCAAACTGACTTGCCTAGAGTCATATAGCTAATGAGTGTCTAAGGTTATATTTGAACTCAGATTTGACCTATTGGCCAACCTTTTAGCAGTAACAAGGCTGAAACTATACTCAAAGACTCTGTAGTCTAATAGAACCTGCTAGAGCTTGCAGTCCTGGTACAGACTTTGAGATCCCAGGGTCACTGTCATACCAGGATGTATCACTCAAGTAGAATTTTATTGGGGAGAAAATAACTATAATACAAGGCAATATTATAAAACAAAATATAATAAAGAAACTCATAGGTATGTACTGAGTAAGAACAAGATAAAAATAGGTACATTGGAGTAGATGCTATAACGTTACTGTATAGCAAGACTATATATTTTATAGTATAAAATGTGTCAGATTGATAGTTGTGGACATTAAGCATATTAAGTGCTGTAGGATTTAAGAGGAAAAAAAGATTGTTTCTGGCTTACCTTCTGACATACTCTTGTTCTATAATAATACATTGATCTCAACTATAAGTTTTTCAGCTCTATGACATGGACTTCATTTGGGCTAAGAAAACTACTCAGAACAATTGAAGGCTCTCATTTCCTTTCTTATTATGGAAAAAAATTACCTCTTAACCACATTGTTCTATCCTTTCTAGCTTAGTGGATTCTCCCCCCCCCTTTTTTTTAATGGAATCAAAGTAGGAATTGAATAGTTCGAGTTCTCTGTGCCTTATATTAAAATTTTGCTAAGTCTCCCAAATAGTGAAATGTACCTAAAAAGATCCTTTTGTTGTCCTTTGTATTTTTCAAGCTTTTAATACATTCTGGGCTTCTGCCTTTTTGGTGCTGTTCTTGAAGGTCTGTGCCACTCTAGTATCTGTCCCTGGGTACATCTTCCTTCTTCATTTCTGTACATGCCCTTTCAGCAGCTTCATCAGAAGGCTCCCTGGGCTGTTATTTTATCTCCTTTATATGCTTCCCCATTTGCTTTCTCATCAAAACATTCATGATTATATTGTCATATTTTTTCTAGAGAACTTCTCTTTCTTGCTGCACTTTTCCTTGTAGATTCTCAGGCCATGGAATTATGCTCATGATCTTATAAAGTCAAAGTTACAGCTGTATCCTTCTTGGCTATCATGAATTCTAAGATGTCTGTAATTTTTTCTCAGGTTTTTCTTGCTAGGCAGAATAGCAGTTTCCCTTGTCTCTTTGTTGTCCTTCTGAGAAATGAAATAACCAGTAGGGTGGTTAGCCACAACCTAGGTTCTTGTGGTGACCTTAACCTTCCAGAGTTCACCTCTCCCTATATCTTTGTGGTTCAAAGTGCTGTATCTTCAGGGCCGTTTCTAGTGTCTCACGTCAGTGAGATAGGGACCTCAGAGGACCCAGGCCTTGGCTGTTACGGTTTGAATACTTGGACACCATGCTAGCTGTGTAGCCACTCTCCTGGAACTTTCAAACTCCCCACCCTGGGCTTTTCTGACTACCATGGGATTTTCTCAGAGGAACATTGTCCTCTTACTTCTTCTAGACATAGAGCCTTGCTCTGACATATGGCTGTGTATGTCAGATCTCTCCTCATGTTGGCATTGGCTGGGGTAGGGAGTAGAGTGGGGTTGGGAAAGGGGAGGAGATCTTTTTTTTTTTCTGTTGGCTTCTGGTTGACTTTTTTCTTCCACTTCTGGGGTAGACAAACTATTTATTCTAATTTTTCTTTAGATTTCTTATTCCTTATTTGGTCTGGTGCACGTTTCAGAGTTCTGTTGGAATTGATGTAGCGGAATTAGGCAGCTGCCTCCGCATTCAGGTGACCATCTTGGCAGGATATTGGTATTATTGTTTTAAAAAAAAAACCACTCAACTTGAGCTATCTCCTTTTCTTTCTTAACATACATATTTAGTATGTTGGGCAGAGTGAATCAGCTGTGCGACAGGTTTTCCAGCGTGCCAGAAATTCAGCACCATGTGTCATCTTTTTTGATGAAATAGATGGATTGTGCCCTCAGAGAGCAAAAGTGGAGGTAAGTCTCACACATGATAAACTCTTTTATGTATCTGTTTGTATCTCTTTTAAAAAGGGTAAGTTTGCAATATTCTGTTATTATTTTAGAAAATGAGTTTGTGAAGTATTATTAGCTTTTAGTTTTTCTGGTGTGCATTGCACAGACCCAGATTCTTTTCCCCTCATTTTACCTTACTTGTATTTCAGCTACTCTACTACATTGATACCATCTTCCTCACATGATAACAAAGGGGAGGAAGTTAAGTTTTGAATTCTTACAACCTACAACTTAGAACCTTACCACCTCGGGGGCTCTAGAGAAAGAAGACTTCCAGGCTCCCTGGCTCCAGAGGCCCAGAGGAGGACTTTTTTTTTTTTTAATGCAACCAAACAAATATCCCATAGTTCTAGGTTTCTAAATAAGGCTTCAAGACATTCATTTAAAACTAGGATTAGTAGTTCAGAGTTCTGTGTTGGGCCACGTGTGTTTGTTTTTCTAGGTGAACTGCCACACTGGATTTTGACTTTAGTTTTCCCCTGAACTAAACCCATTCTGGAGAGACCTACAAAGTTTAAAAAATCTTTAAGTCTTAAGGATTTACTTAAAAATCAGCAGAGGGAAAATTCTAATCATGTTTTCATTTCCCTTTTCCCTTAGAAAAACAATCTGGAATTAGACTTTCTTCTTGTCAAAGACTTGGACAAATATTTGAAAAATAATATTTTACGGGGAGGTTAGGTGGCGCAGTGGATAGAGCAACGGCCCTGAAGTCAGGAGGACCTGAGTTCAAATGTGGCCTCAGACACATAACACTCGCTAGCTGTGTGACCCTGGGCAAGTCACCTAACCCCAATTGCCTCATCCAAAAAAAAAAAATATTTTAAATAGGGTTGTGTTTTTCATTTATTTAGTGTTCAAATAGATTTTTTTTTTCCTGATGAGGCAAAAAAAAGAAAAAATGCTTTTAATGTGGCAGATTGCCTCAAATTTACTGAATATATAGAGGCAGTGTAGTGTAAGCAGATAGATAGCTTTTTTTAGGACATGAAAATTTGAGTCCAAATCCTGCCTCATTTACCCTGAATTTATCCAAATCCTGACCTTTACCCTGAGCATATGTTTAACCTGTCTGAACATCAGGGAATTCCCTAGGACTTCATACTAAAGTGTAAACTTAGTTTGCAATCTGCATTAGTGCATGAATTTCCCTATGTTCACTCTTGAGTATTATATCCCTCAGAGCCATATTGTGTCATGGCTTAACTTCTTTTGTGTCATGGACCCATGGGCAATTTGCTGAAGTCTATGAAACCCTTCTCAGAGGAATGTTTTTAAATGCCTGAAGTAAAATACTTATGATTACAAAGGATATTTAATATATTAATATTTTGATATACTGATATATTGAAATATAGTTGTCAAATTATTTTTAAAAATTAGTTCATGAACTCTCAGGTTAAAAACTTCTGCCCTAAGTAGAGAGCAGCCAGCCATATTACATGTTTTTAAAAGGAAGTTCATTGGATGGTGTTTGAAGGCATAATATTTCAAATGGCCTAGTACACTGCACATTGATTGTCCAGACTTTCTTACAAATGGAGAAACAACATTAATCAAGTATAAGAATATCAATTACTTGATACAAAATGTGATTCCAGATTTTGTGTATTAGAAAAATAATGCTTCATACTGGGGTGTGTTGGTTATCTATTGTATCTATATGTCTTGTGATCTAACACACAGAGAATTCAGTTCAGAGTGCCCCAAACCAATTTTTTTTTTGAGCACAGCCAATACAGTAGACCTGGCTTTAAATCCTAACTTTGTACTTAGCTACCTATATAACTTTAACCAAGTCCCTTAACCTGATTTGGCTTCAGTTTCCTCATTTATAAAAATGACTAGATCTCTGAGCTCTTTTTTTCAACCCTAAAATCTAAGATTATAAATAGTATGCAACCTATTCCGTTACCATTAAGACAGTGGCTATTAAATGCTCACTCCATAGGGGGAAGAGGACTCTATAACCCTGATCTAAATTATGCATTACTATATCTATCATACTTTATTATTGAATTTTATTATTGCCTACCATGGTTTTAGGCCTGTCTGTTCCTTATTATAAGCTGCATTCCTGGACCCCTTCCTGAATTTTCTTGGGCCTATTTAGCACCAGATCAATATTTTTCTCTAAAATACTAATATTTCTTAGGAATTAAATTCAGTAGTTTTTACAGCCATTATCCAGTTGATGGGTAACTGCTTCTTTTTTTCTTTCCAATTCTCTATTACCATGAAAAAGTGCTGCTATAAATATTTTTAAAATAAATTTTATTTTTGTTTCTGTCTGTGAATGGCCAAATGCCCAGGGATGAGATTACCAAGGCAAAGAATACAGACAGTTTAGTTACTTGTCTTGCATAATTGCAGATTAATATCCAGAATGGATAGATCAGTTCACACTTTTACCACTGGTGTAGCATGTAGTTGTTTTCCTATTACCCTCCCATCATTGATTGTTCTTGTTTTTGCTCATGTTTGCCATTTTGCAAGGTGTGAGGTTAAATCTAAGAGTTGTTTCAGATTACATTTCTCTATTAATGATTTGACTAAAAGAAGGAAACCTCAGAGAAGCTAGACAACTTTGAAAGTTATATGTTAAATTTATAATAAAATTAAAAAATAAAAAGGACTACATAATAGAGCTGTTCTTTGTTTATGGAAATTCTCATTTTATTTGGAGTTTGTTAATTCCAGAATTAAAAAAAAAACAGTAAAAAATTATTAGTGATTTGGAGGGTGTTTTCATATCGCCACTTATGGTTTGCATTTCTTTTGTAACTTCTTTGTTCATATCTTTTTATAACTTTTTTCTTGGTAAACAGTAGTTGGCACTTATGTATCAATAGTTCCTTATGTATTAAACTTTTATCAATGATCTTTGATGTAAAGGTCTATCTGCATTGACTTTGTTAGTGCAAAAACTTGAAAATTTTCTATAATCCAAAATTTTTGCATTGTCTTTTGTGATTTTTTTTCTCTTATTTAATAATTTCCCCTTAACAGTAATTGTGAACCTCCTATTCTCCTCAAAGCTTCTTGGGATGTGATTTATATATTAAATGTCCATAAATATTCACATATTCATTTGGAACATGTCATGGTAGGCATGGTTTAACATCATCAGTTCATTCAAGTATGTTCATTAACTATGCACAAAGAATTTAAGAGTTTTAATTTTTTTTAAAGTGTTCACTCTATTGAATCAGTCATAAAGAACATTGTTACTACTCCTCAAACTAGAATTAACAACTAAACTTTAAAAGATATTTAGCCTTTGCAAAGAGTTCTTTTAAACAAACCTTTCCCTTACTCTAAAATATAGAACAACCTTTCAGCTATATTTTCTTCACTTAAAAAGCATCTTTTCCAATGAATTCTTCTCTCCTAGCCCTACAGTTTGCCATGAAAGATGGGTGGTTGAGTTCATGGACTAGTAAGCATAGGTGAATTCTTTTAAAAAAATTTCTTTGCCCATACCAGCCAGAATCCAGCAGCCACATACAGTGAACTGCTGCAGCAAAGAAAACAGTGTTGTGAGATAAAACCGTGTAGATGATTTTTCTTTGACTTGACTAAAGTTAATTGGATAGAAAGGAAGAGTCACTAAACCCCAAATTTGACCTCTTTCAAGATGAAACTTCACCAGAGCTGACGGTATAGAAAAAGGCTGTTGAAGAACATTAGACTTTGGAGCAACCAAATCACTAGAGTCTTCTTTTTCTTCCTTCTGCCCCAGAGCCTTGTGGAAACAGCAGAGGAAGCAGTGATTACACCAACTGGGTGCTTCTAGACCCAGGCAAAGTTGACTTATGGTCTGCTGACACAGTCAGGTGTGCCTGGGCACACCTACCATAATCTGTATGCAAGCCTGTAGCCAAGATTCTGGTGTAAATATAATTTCTCTCAGCCCTTTCACTTGTTGTTAATGTTGTATTTAATCTCTTTATCAGTAATATGAAATGCTAAGATGTGCAGTTTAAAGTGGCCCTGTAAATATTTGTATCCTCAGGAGTATAGAGGGACAGTTAAATTTAGCTTTTCCAATGTTAGCTTCTGTAAAACAGGACCTCCTGGGACATGAAGTGTACCAGGCTACGGTTCTCATCCTCTCCACCATCAAATTAACATCACAGAGCACTACTACCATTGTGCAGAGAGATTTTACAAGTACCAAAATTATACCCCAGCCTGAAAATTGATGCCGAGATATAATCATTTCCTGAATTTCCTGCCACAGTATCTTTCAACAACATTATGAAAGCAACACCCTAACTGCTGTTTGCACAGAGCCTCATACAAAAAAGTATTGACTAGACCTTTGTGAAGGAGGTGTTTCTTTTTACATAGTTTTTGCTAAAGGAGGTGGTAGAGCAAGGTACTCACTAGGATGTTTGACTTCTTAAACTGACTTTTGTTAGGGCAGTCCAAGAAAATTTAGTCAATCAGTTGAGCTTTTACCCACCACCACAACCACTCCTTTCCTTCTCCCTCTTGCCATATCCTGACAAAGGCTATATTCAAATAGTGGTTTTTGTTTGCTGGAAAATCTAAATCTACATGGCCATGTTAAAGGCATCCAACTCACAGATGCAAACCTCAGAAAGATGCTTTTGGTTTCTGTATTTTCACTACACATTATTGCTTGGAGTCTGCATCTAGATGGGAGTTAACCTTTTTGCTTTTTTTGTGTTAATTGCTTTTCCCTAATCACACAAAAACTATGTATTTCTGCCCCCTCCTCTAGATGGAAAAAAAAAATTTTTTCCCAAAATATAACAAGGCAGTTCTGTCCACCTTTCATCTTCATGGAGATTCTTACTACCAAGGATGGTAGAATTGTAGTTTTAAGAAAAAGGAATGTTAGGCTAATGACCACTTTTTTCTATAGAGAACATTTATGTAGAAGTGACACTGTGAATTATGAAAATAAATAAGTTTTGTAAACTGTCTCTCACTCTTACTGTCTCCCATATTGTGTTCTTTTATTCTTATATGGGGAATAGGTAAAAGGGGGAAAGGAATAAGTATTTATATAGCACTTACAGTATGCCAAAACTGTGCTAAGCACTTTACAAATATCTCATCCTCACAGCAACCCTACAAGGTAGATGCTATTATTATCCCCATTTTATAGTTGAGGAAACTGAGGCAAACAGAGGTTAAGTGTTTTGTCCTGGTTCATAGATCTAGGAAATGTCTGAGGTTGGATTTGAATTCAGGTCTTCCTCACTCTGGGCCCAGTGCTCTATCCACTATACCACTTGACTTCCTTTATCTGTATTTATATCTATGGATCGTATCTATTTATTTCTGTATCTGTAGCTATATCTAGCTACTTTGCATTCTATCTTACTACCTCTTAGACATTGCAGTGGAAACATCCAACACTCTTATCTAAAGAACATTAAGAAAAAGAAAATCATGTATAAGTTTTTGTTGAAAAACTTCATTAGAAAACTTTTAAGATTTTAATATAAGTTTGAAAATTCTGGATGATCCAGGGTTTTTCATCATTTGGGAGGCTAAACCTCCCAAAAAAGATCTTTGTGGATGACACACATCCCTTTGGTGTGTCTGGACTAGATTTTCTGTACAAAAGTAGTTAGTTTTAATTTAATAAACATACTGTTTTATGATGGATTTTTCCACATTGGTCTAATAAAATGATTGGTTGTGTTTTTGTTCCCCTTGTATTTCATGAAAGTCCTTTTCTTTTTCAGTCTGCTGTCAGTGACCGGGTGGTGAGTCAACTTCTTACAGAGATGGATGGTGTAGAATCCCGGCAGCAGGTTTACATCCTGGCAGCCACCAACAGGCCAGGTGAGAAATTGGGTTCTAAAATGAGATAAAAGAGCTTTCAGGACGTAGAATTAGTGTGATTTGCTTAATTTATGGTAAACACAGATAAGTTTGGGTAGCAGATGTTCAATTCATCTCTTCAACTACTTATTGAGTACCTGCTAAATGATACGGGGTGGGGGAGGACGGGGACGACAGTTCCTGCCTTCTAGGAATTTGAAAATAAGACCTTGAACTTCAAGGTACTGCAGGAAAAAGAAATAACTCATTCAAGAGTATGATATTTTTTTCTGTCTACTCATCAGTCTTACTGCAAGTTGGTACTATTGTTATATACCTTGATCCAGTATCATGTTTCCAGAGAAGGATTCTAAGAGCAGAATGTCTTATGTTTTTTCCTTAAGAGTATAGAAACATATAAATCTGAAAAACTTCCTACTTTGATCAGTGGTAGCAAGATTGTATCCTAGGACATGACTACTTTTGAGTATATTCTTATTCATATTTGTCCTACTTAAGCTAAGCATAGCCATTCCAAGTTTAAGAAATAGTCGTTGCCAGAGCTGGGCAGGTGGAGGGGCAGCAGAATGTAGTGCTTTAAGAGAACAGAAATGTAGCTTTTAAAAAATCTACGTGGACTGAACCCTTTTCAAATGTGCCATCCACTTACTTCTGTCTACCATCATTCTGTATCTACTATGCACTGCAACATTTATGGTAACTACATGTTGATTTTTTTGTTGAGAATTTCAGAATTGAGCAAAGGTAAGCCCTGTTAAGTTTAACCAGTGAGAACAACTAAGAAGCACCTTGTAGTGCTCTGGAGTTTGTCACCCTTGTGCATTTCATTTTGTGCTTTTTCCCCTTACGTATGACTCAGTAAGCATTTATTAAGCACATAGTGTGTGTCAGGCACTATGCTAGGTGCTAAGGATACCAAAATAGAGCATGGAAACAATCCCTCCTCTCTGGGAACTTACATTCTAACCCGCAGGTAAGTACATGTATGAATACGTTCAGGATTAGTATAGGAGAATGTTTACAGAAAAACTGGAAGGAAGGGGTCAGCATTTAAGGGAGGATCAGAAGAGTCTTATGTAGAAGGTGGTGCTCAAGCTGTCTTGAAGTGGATGTGGAAGTGAGAAGGAAATGAATTCCATGCATGGGGGACAGCTGGTACAGAAACATGGAGATGGGAGTGTAAAGGACAGACAGGCCATTTCGGTTGGATCACAGGAAGGGAAGTAATGTATAGTGAGACTGGACTTTTTTAAAAAGCTAAATAGCAGAGTTTATATTTTATCCTAAAAACAATAGGGAGCTCCTGGAGTTTACTCTTAAGAGTTTAGAGGAGCGACTAGGTCAGATAAGGAAAATCACTGCACAGCTGTTTTAGAGGATGGACTATAGTGGGGAGATTCCTGAAGCAGGAATACCAATTAGGAGGCCATTGCAATAGTCTAGTGAAAGGTTGGGAGGGCCTGAACTAAGGCAGAGGTATTTTTGTTGTAGAGGGAAGGGGTCAGATGCAAGAGATGTTATGGGCATTAGAAACTGCAAGATTTGGCAACTGATATGGGGTTAGGGAGAATGAGGATAATGCTGAGGTTGCAAACAAAGAATACTAAAAGAATGGTGGTGGTACTTTATACAGAAATAGGTAAATTTGGAAGATAGGTTGATTTGGGGGAGGGTGAGAAATAGTGCATTATGCTTTAGACATGTGGATTTTGAGATGTGTCTGGGACATCCATTTTGAAATGCCCAATAGGCAATTCTGACATAGAATTGAAGCTCAAGGGAGAGATTTGAGCTGGACCCTTAAAGTTGTGAGTCAACTACATAAAGATGATGATTAAATTCTCAGGAGCTGATGAAGTGAGCAGTAGCAAGAATGGGGAGAGACAGAAGGGTGCCTAGACAGAGCTTTGGGTGATGAATCAGTAAAGAACTCTGAAGAGAAACAGTAAGATAGGAGAACCAGGAGAGAATGATTACATAAAGAAAGAAGACATTATTCAGGAGGAGAAAATGGGCAATGGTGTCAGATGCAGCAGAGAAATCAGAAAGGAGAAAGAAGATCATGATTTGGTAATAAGAGATTATTGAGGGGGTGGAGCCAAAATGGCATAGAGAAGCTAGAATTTTTTCTGAATTCTCCCAACCCACCTGTCAAAACAGCTTTAATTTTTATGTGTTTATTTTTAGTTTTCAACATTCACTTTTTTAAGATTTTGAGTTCTAAATTTTTCTCTCTTCCCCTTCTCCTCTCCCCAAGATGACATGTAATCTGATGTAGGCTATACCTGTACAATCATATTAAACATATTTCCACATTAGTCATGTTGTAAAGAAGAATCAGAACCAAAGGGAAAAACCACAAGAAAGGGAGAAAGAGAGAGAGAGAGAGAGAGAAAATAGTATAGTTTCAATCTGCATCCAGACTCCGTAGTTCTTTATCTTAATATAGATAGCATTTTCCATCTCTAGTCTTTTGGAATTGTCTTAGATCATTGCATTGCTGAGAACAAAACAACTTTAAAAAGCACATATAGAGAGTAGGATAACCCAACAAAAAGTCACAGTGAGTCATTTTTCCAACCCATGAAAACTTAGGAGGACAGAAAGAGAGATCTGTGGAGGCAGTGGCAGCAGAAGTACTGGTAGTTCTCAGGGACCGTAAACTGTGTTAGGAACACCTAATCAGAAAGAGATTCCAGGGAATGCCTGTGCTGGCCCTGGGTGCAGGATCAGGCACCGTTTGGCAGCCATTACCCAGTTGTGGGCTGCAGTTCCAGGGCAGAGAGGAATGATTGCAGTTAGAAAGGAGCCGGCACCCCACCTGGGTAAGGACAAGAGCAAAGACCAGAAGAGCAGTGACCGGTACTCTATCTAGATCATACTAACAATGGAAGTACTGAAAAGTTAGAGGCCCTGAGCCCTGGCTGTGAAAGCAACAGGACCTCAACCTGCGATGATGAGGCTAAACAACCCAGAAGTGAGCAGAGCCCAACTGTAGTCTGATCTAGACAAGAAGGTTATCACTGGACCCCTGCACCAAAACGTTTTGTACTTATGTTTAGCTTCTTTTTCCATTCTCCTCTTTTATTTAATCCTCAAACTTTTGTTGGCTTCAAAGAAGAAAAACCTTTATAGAAAATACTGAACAAAACTTGACAAGACATGCTTTTATAATTAATTTTTCTCAAAGCCTTTTTCAAATATTTAAATTAGCCCATGTATTACTTTGGTGAAGTAAATTATAGATGCATAGTAATATCTTCATTTTGCTAAAGAAACTGAGGTGTGTGTGATTTTTAAAACTGTCATCATAAACCAAGTATTGGACTAAAAAAAAAAAGAATCAGACTGCCTGCCTGACTTCCTTTATCGTGTTCTGTCAAATAAATCATACTTCTGCCTCTTGCTTTGTCCTTTGATTTGGACAAATGGCCCTTTGCCCTCCCCCTGCATTTCCCACCTCCCCCCACCCCCACCCCAATACCTTGAATTCTCAAGGAAGATCATAGCAAATTGAATTAACCTAGTAGACAATAATTTATGATGGCTATATACATATGTACTTCAGAAAAGTTACTTGGCAGGCACAACAGGTGTAGGAGTGGAGTTTCGCCCTTTATCCAGCTTCACTCTTTCTGTAATGGAGCTCTGAATCCGTAACACTCCATAAAACATGCCTTTTATTGGCCAAGAACAGGTCAAACGTTGGAAATGTTCTCTCGTGAATAGTTCTTTTAGGAATTACGTTAGATTTGCTGAGCAGTGCCAGAGTGAGATGTTCAATCATTCATATAACTGTAATGAAGATAATTTTTTGCCTTAAAAGCTGATCAAGATGAAGTATTTAACATCTTTTTTTTTTTGCTGCTATAATCTATCTTTATAAAGTTCAACTTAAAATACTACACATCTCATAAAATACTACCCACACTTAATAATTCTCAGTACTCTTGTAAAGTGAATTCATGACAAACCATTGTCTTTCAAGTTACAGAGGGAGGAAAATTGATGCAAGTGATTTGTCAAGAGTCACACAGATAGTTGTGTTTGAACTGGATTACCTTTGGCCAGTACTCTTCAAGCTAGTGGTCAAGACCTTCAGGTTGTCTAATGGGGGAATTCTCCTGAAATTTTGGGTATCAAAAATAATAGTTCCAATCACCAGTGAACAACAGCCTCCAGACTGTTACAAGAGGGTAACTTCTTATTAAGGCAATTTCCATTAACTGGGACCTAATTGTAAAGCACTGAATTTATTGTATACCTTAAAGGAAAAAAAAGGACAACTTGTATGTGGTAGAGATTCAGTTTTATGTGCCATACTTTTTGTTCTGTTCTTTTATGTGAAAATGCTTGTGTTTGCTGGTTCTCATCAAGTTTAGAATACTAAAAAGAAAAGGAAAAAAATAGGTATGAGGGTAGGAAAGTTCACATGGGATTATGTGTAGGAGATTGTTTCAGATTGCTCCAACTGCTAGGAAGTAGCCATTAAAATTCTCTAGTACACAGAAAGATTTTCTGTCAGTTTCAGATAAGAGTAGGAGGCAGTTGGATGGGTATTCACTGACAACCTGGCTACAGTATATGTGGCCCTGGCTTGTTCTTTACATTTGTGTACCCTGCTGATCATTTGCTCTACCAGAATGGTTGCCATGTATATATCTCTGGTGTTTTTTTTGTGTATGACCATGTTGTTAAGTACCTAGGGCATATTTTTACCAAGGGAATACAGATTGACTGTAATGGAAAACAGTGAGTCAGTCAGTGGGAACCGTGTTATGGAAAATATTCTGAGCTACTCCTTTTCTAGGAGCACATGGGGAGACAAAAGCCAAACAAAACATTAATAAATATAGGCTGCTTATCACTGTCATACAAGTCAGATGGGGGGACATGGTTGGCCAATATTTTAACCAATAGCCAACCAACAGTTAATATCATTTCTAGTGAATTGTCACATTTAGAGTATAACCCCAGAAGAAACATTAAAAACTTACAGTGTTGAATCTGAATGAAAGTTATCATTGCTAAACACAAAACAGTTAATTTTTTTTTGACTCTCAGTATCTCGTCAGTGGTATCATCAACCACTCATTCCTCCATGTTTGAAATGTTGGTATTATCTTTGGCTCTTCGTTTCATTTACTAGGTCCTGTGGATCATGTCTTCTATATCTTTACCATCCATCTTTTCTGTGTTCCCACTTGCATAAATCAGTTAGAGCTCACTTCTGCTCCCTTTTACTGCCTCCAAAAAATTATACAGTTGTAGATTTAGATCTGAAATAATCCTTTCCATACTACTCATTGTATAGATGAGGATGTTGAAGCATAGAGAAATAAATAGAATGTAGTAGTCAGGCTGCAGCCATAATTTTCTTTTTATTTGGGTCAACAAACTTTTATTAATATCCTACTATATTCAAGGTACTGGGATAATTGTTCTTCCTTTGTTAAATATAGATAATCCAAACCCTATTACTGGAATAAAATTCAGACTCCTTTGCCTACCATTTAGGGCCCTCCACAATCTTAAACAATCCTACTTTCTTGTCCTAAAAATCCTACTTCTCCCATGTATGTGCTCTGTACTCTTGCCAAACTCAACTTACTCCTTGTACATGCTTTATGTTTTACTGTTTCCATACCTCTGCCCACAGTAGTCCCTGTACCTTGAATGCCATCCTTCACACAATCCCCACCGTCATCGCTACTAACTTTTAAAATATTTATCCATCCTTTAAACCCCAGTACAAACCTCTTCTAGGAAGCCTGCCCCAATCTTCACCCATCCCTCCTGTATCAGCAGTGATAGTCTCCTCCCTCAAACCTCACGTAAGACTATACTTGTACTTCCTCTGAGACAGTATGTATAGTGCAGTGGATACTGCCTATTAGGAATTGATTTTAAGTCAGTGAACCTGTGTTAGAACTTAGTAGTCATCTGACCAAGTGAGTATTCTGGACCTTAATTTCCTCATATTGTAAAATTAAAGGATTAGATGAGATGACCTCCAAGGGCCCTTTGAACATTAAAGCTATGATCCTATAGCATATTTTTATATTTTTAAATGCTTTTAATATTCTTTATGTATTTGTCCTATCCCCAGTAGACAGTAAATTCCCTGGGGACAGAGACCTTGTCTTATTCAAATTTTGTATCTCTTTACACTTAGGGTATTTAATAAGTAAATAAATAATTTGATTAATAATGTGCTGAAGTTCATTGTTACTAAGTGAAGCAAAGGATTAAACTCGCCACCTAAACTTTTCGTCCTCTCCTTCTTCTGTTTATCTCTTCCTTTCTCTTCCTCTCCTTTCAAATGGCAAATAATAGCTTTAAACGTTAAAGCAATTTTTAAAGAAGGTTCTATTAATACCTTTTGTTTCTTACATAAGACACATTTCCCACTATCTCCTGTTAAAACTTTTTCATATACTTAATTTCATCTGATTTTTACAACTCTGTAAGGTAGGCATAACAAGTACAGTACATGGTGTGCCACCACTTTATAGATTGACTTAGGAAACCATATATGTTAATGATTCTTTTTTTAATTAACTGTTGCTGTTCATTCATTTCAGTTGTGTCTGACTCTTTGTAACTCTATTTGGGGTTTTCTCGGCAAAGATGCTGGAGTGATTTGCCATTTCCTTCTCTAGTTTGTTTTACACAGGAGAAAATTGAGACAAATAGGGTTAAGTGACTTGGGGTCACACATCTAGTAAGTGTCTGAGGCCCCATTTGAACTAGGTCTTCCTGATTCCATACCTAGCAACTCTATCCACTGTGCCACTTAGCTGCCCATTTTTCTACATATGGGTCCTTTTTCTCTTTCTTTGATGTCTTTGGAGTATAGACTTAGCAGCCGAATCACTGGGCAAAGAGTATGCACATTTAATGGCTTTTTGGCGTAGTTACAAATTGCTTTCCTGAATAACTGGACCAGTTAACAATCATATCCTTTGACTAGTTATCATATGGAGAATGACTCTTATTTTAAATTAAACTCAGTTCCCGTATATTTTTAAAATGAGACCTTAATCAGAGAAACTTGTTGCGAAGATTTTTTTCCCTGGTTTCTTGCTTCTCTTCTAATTTTGGCTGAACTGATTTGGATTGTGTAAAAACTTTAATTTTATGTAATCAGAATTACCCCCTTTACCTCCTGTAAAACTGTCTCGCTTATTTTAGTCATGAACTCTGCCCTTATCCATAAATCTATCTAATAGGTAATTTCTTCCTTTATCCTTTGTTACCCTTTATGTCTAAATTAGGAACTCATTTTGAGCTATAGAGTGGTGTTTATTGCTTAGAAAGCAGTCTTTCAATTGTAAACTTCTTATCTGCCACTCATTCCTATCCTTCGTGGCTAACAAATTCCCACATGTATGAGAGAGAAATGAATTTTTTTGTGAATTTTATTTCCATACTGTGGTTTAAAAAGCATAAGAAATTAATAGCCACAGCCACTTACAGTGAATAAGAAGCCTCGTGTTTGGCAGATATTTCTATGAAATCAAAAATCAAAAAATGAGACAAAGTAGTTCTTCTGCCTTTCATGGAAATTGTTTTCAGTAGTACTTACGTTTTCTTACTAGATTCTATTGACCGGGCCATCCTTCGTCCTGGCCGGCTGGATAAAACCCTTTTTGTGGGTTTGCCATCCCCTGCCGATCGTTTTGCCATCTTGAAAACTATCACAAAGGTGAGTAAAGAGAATCATGTTTACCATTTGTAAAAAGCCTCTGTTCCGGGTAGACCATCATAATTTAGGCAGTATTGTATGTAATTTTAAAAAAAAAAGTAGCAGAAAGCAATATCCAGGCTTTTTCTTTCTATAACTGCCTAGCTTGGAGCTTGAAGTATTTTTCAGAATTGAGAAAGTTTGAATTTCCATTTTCCCAGGCTCAAAATCAACTAATCAAAATTAGGATGAATTAGCTAGCTTATTGTTTAGATTTTAACGTTTGATAAATAACGTTACCTAGAAGAACTTCATTAGATAGTGTTTACCTTGAGAAGTCTAAATATAATATTAGGCATATTACCTTACTGTGTCTGAACGTAACAGAAATTAGTGGCAATTTTGTTTACCAAAAGGGTAGCAGAATTAGGCTCCTCATAAATGTCTGGAGTTTTAAACCACTGAATTGAATTTTATATGCTGTTATTTAATGCTACCTTTCAATATCAGGACTAAAATTCTGGTTTTGTAACATTTTTCTGTGTAGTAGCATTTTTTTTTTAATTGATGCCTTTCACATCCCAAAGTCAGTGATAAAATGAATGGACTCATATGTACCAAAATATTTATAATAGCAAGGAACTGAAAGCAAATTAAGAGATCCATTCATTGCAGAATGATCAAACCAGTAGTGGTACATGAATGTAAAGGAACGTAATTTATTATAAAATACTGCATATGGATACGAAGAAGCAGGAAAAGATTTATATTAACTGTTGCAGAGCAAAGTAATCAGAGCCAGGAAGAAAATGTGTGTAATAACTGCAGCAGCATAAATGGAAAGAACAATATAATATCAGAATTTTTTGATGGCTTATTGGATTGTTTTTTTTTTCATAATACTTTGTTATAGGGGACCATTCTCTGGATGGGTTAGAGGTGAGTTGCAGTGGGAAATATAGGTGATATAAAAACATGATCTCAATAAAATTTTATTTTAAAAAATATCAAAAAAGTAAAGCATCATATTCCTTTCTGAATCTGTCCTTTCCCATCTTTCCTCTCCCACCAAGTTTTCCATTGTAATGAAGATTTAAAAAGAAAGAGGACATAAAAAGTAGTTTGACAAAACCATCCAATACATTGACCACATCTGACAGCCTATGTCCACTCCTGGACAATGAAGGATGAGGACATATTCTTTAATTTTCTCTGGAGCCAGGCTTGCTTATTACAGTTACACCATATTCAGTACAATATTCAGTATATTGTTTTCCTAGTTATGCCTACTTACTCTCTATCAGTTCACTTACATCATCTTGGGATTGTTTGTTTTCTTGTCATTTATTTTAGCAAAATAATACTCTATTACAGTCATATATCATGTTAGCCATTTCCCAGTCTAGGAGCACGTAAGTTATTTCCAATTCTTTGATACCACAAAAAAGTGCTGCTATCAATATTTTGGTATTCTGGGACCTTTCTTTCTGGCTTTGAGCTCATTGAGGTGTATATATAGTAGTGGGATTTTTGTGTCTAAGGATGTGAACATGTAGTCATTTTTGTTTTAGCATAATTCCAAATTGGTTCCAGAATGGTTAGACCAATTCACAGCTTCACTTAACTATGTATTAGTTTGCCTGTTTTCCTGTAGTCCTCCCAACATTAACTATTTAAGTGACTTGTTCTTTTGGGGACAAAAAAAAAATCTTTGAATTTTAAATTGTGAGCTTCTCAAGGGCAGGGACTATCTTTTGCTTGTCCCCAGCACTTAGCACAGTGTGTGGCACATAATCGGTACTTTGTTTATCCATTTCCTAATAGATGGGCGCCCACTAAGTTTCCTGTTGATGCCTCTTCAGCTTGTAAAATTAAATGAGAATTTACATTAACATATCTATCACTTTAAGGTTTTCAGAGTGTTTTTACATTTATTATTTGGTCTTCACAACAACCCTATGAATTATATACAGAAGGTAGAGATTTTATAGATTTGAGAAACACTCCAAGGGAAATTAAATGCCTTCTCCTGCTCATATAGCTAGTATAAGTGATAGAGATGGGGCATAAACCCAAGTTTTCCTAAATCCTAGTCTAGCATTCTGTCATTATGGCATGTTAGTAATACCAAAGTTATCCATATAGAGAAAATGCATACCTGTTTTCACTTGTGGTTAGAATTGTTTTTTTTTCCTTGAATAACATCAAAATTCTTTAATATTCATGGGTGTGGATTATTTTCCTTTAGATCGTATAGAGCTCATCACCCATTTCTGAACCTTGTGTCTTTTGAAATGGAATATTTAAAATATTTTGGTACCATCCGTTGTGGGTTACCATTATATAATAAATGCCTACTGTCAAAAGGGCATTCCTTCAAAACCCCACTGAAAAGTGTCCATTTCTCTCTCTTCCATTTAGAATGGAAAGACACCTCCCCTGGATGTTTCTGTCAGCCTAGAGGCTATTGCTCACGACCCTCGATGTGACTACTTCTCGTAAGTGTTTATCGTTTTCCTCCAGTTTAAAAAAAGGAATGTTCTTGGTGAGATATTGAAATGTGTATTACTGTGAATGTGAAATTTCATCTTCTGACCTTTAATTCCTAAACTACCTTCTCTTCGTTTCCACTGTACACGAGTTCTGTCTGTCCTGTTTATCCTTTCTACTAATGTATGAAAGATGATATAGATGACTGCCAAATTGTTCAAGTAAATAGGAATACTGAAATTTTTCACGGACAGCAGCTTACTGGCCTACTGTTGGATGAATTATTCACCAAATAGGCTTTTCTGTTTTTATTATTAGCTTTTTGGCTTTAATTTATGATATAAGAAATGAAGTGTGAATAAATTAGGACTATAACACATCAAGGATAAGATTTACAGAATTTACTCAGATTTCCATACTTCTTACACCTATTAAAATGTTTGACTTTTAACACTGTTGCCAATGTATTTTGTAATAGTTATTTTGTCTTCATAGTTCTACTTAACAGAATACTGATAAATTTTTTTTATCAAATATTATACTCCTTAACATGCAGTAAAAATACCAGAAATTATGTTGTGATTAGAAAATGTTATGTAAGCTAATATTCTACTCTTTGCTTTTAAAATATATTTATGTTAATTATTTCTAGATTTCAACTCTTTGCTTTTAAAATATATTTATGTTAATTATTTCTAGATGCAGGAGCAAAACATGACATGTTAATTCAGTCAACACTGAAATTTACAGCTGTTCTTTATGATTTAGGAACATTGCTCAGAAGTTTATATCTCAAAGTATCTCCAGTGAAAAAGCAGAGTTGGTGTGATGAATTCTTAGCCCTAGATTAGTTAATGGCTTTATTTCTCATGGATTTGGAAATTTTATAAGCAATGTAAATATCTCTTTTGCATATGAAAATGAAATGGGGAAATGAGTGCTCCACAGACAGAACAGTATTGGGGATGAGCTTCACTCATCTTTCTAAGCACTTATATCCTTTCCCCTACTTGACTGCACTTGGCAAATCTGAGTGGGATTTTGGTACCATAATAAAATCCTGTTTCTTTTCTAATAAGTAGCTGATGACAGATAATAACGACTGCCATATGCAGAAAAGTTGGTGGGAGGGATTAAAAAAACCAGTATATTATTAGCATAAAATTCCTTAATTGCACTCCCCCAAGTTAATATTTCTTAAGTAATTTTTGAGGTTTTTTTAGCTTTGTGTATTTAATCAGTAGGCCTTCAACCTTATATAGTAAATAAGTTTTGTGGCTAAAATGAAGTTCTTTTTCATCTAGAGATCATTGCCTGACAAAGAAGAACTGGGGTCTTTTAGTAACTAAGCTCTTTGTCAAAGCAATCATTTCTTCTTAAGTATTACAAATTTTTTAAAACCTGTAATACAGGCAAAACAGCGTTTGCTGTTTCTTTTGGCCAGTAGTAGAACACTTTAATTGAGTATAACAAGTTAATCTTGTACCAGAACGTTTTTTAAAATTAATAAAATGGGCAAAGTCCTGAGCTTGTAAATTTGAGATTCCCTTTGCCTGAACAGAGCACATCAGAGGTTTCTCAGTATTTATATTCTCTCCACTTGAAACATTTGATGTGTGTCTGTCATTTTCCACATTTGGTAGGTATGCCAGTCATGGATTTTATGGATGAAAATATGGCAGTTAAGAACTTAAAAGTTGGTTGTTTAGTTCTTGTCTTTTCAGAATATAAATAGCATTTGAATATCAAACGTAGATATAAGTAATATAAGTTCTGTAATGAAATAGGATGATTCATTCATTTTCTAACTTTAAGAAGAGATGGAAAAGGATTCTTAAAAAAACTCAAATCACCTTCCTTCCACTCTTAGCCAGTTTGTTCTGTTCTCTTTGGTCAGTTCCTTCCGTGACTATTTAGGTTGAGGTGGTTTTGATCAACGTGTGATTTTTGCGTCTGTCAGAAATATTCTCCATTTTGCAGTTTCCAGTGTATGTGATAATTTCAGGCAATAAGATGAATAAATCACCTAAGCACATATTTCTCTGTGCTGCAGTGGTGCTGATCTTTATCTTCTAATACGAGAAGCTTCCATCTGTGTTTTGAGACAGGAAATGGCAAGTCACAAGAGTGGCAGTAAAAAAGGTAAGCATGTTGTTAGGCTCCTCAATTCCAGCTTAATTTTTATGGTTAGGAAATCTCTTCAGAGGAAGAATTTCTCCTGGTATGAAAATCTGGTTGTGTTAGCTCTATAACTATGGCATTAAAACTAACGTTTTTCTGATAAGATTGTTTAAAACTGATCTAGAAAACAGTCTTATTTCAGTGACTGATAAACCAGTTCTGGAGAGAACCACAAAGTTTTCTGATCATTCATTCTTCAGCCAGTTGAGTAAAACTGCTTCCTTTTCAGCTTCTTTCACTTTTAGTGTGAAAGGACATGATATTTACATGCTGAATCTATGATACCTTTTAAAAAAATCTTTTAAGTCTTCTTAAGGATTTACTTAACCAGTGAAGGGGAAAATCCTAATCATATTTTCACTTCTCATTTCCCTTAGAAAAACAATCTGAATGTCCTATAACTACAATTTATAGAGATTGAGATCCACTTTGGTAGAAGATATTCTTCTAGCTTTATTTATTTTATTTTATTTTATTTGGTTAGGCAGTGGGGTTAAGTGACTTGCCCAGAATCACACAGCTAGTGAGCATTATGTGTCTGAGGCTGGATTTGAACTCAGGTCCTCCTGACTTCAGGGCCGGTGCTCTATCCACTGTGCCACCTAGCTGCCCCCATTCTTCTAGCTTTAAAGTAACTTTTTAAATAGTCCAAGAAACAATTTGATACCATTCTTAGTAAAACTTAACTTTCCCAGATCATCTTATTTCAATAAAAATCTTTTAGGCATAAATGAATGTCCTTTTCTGCATCCTGTTACTTTTATTTTAGGCTTAGTGGTTTATTTTTTATTTAACTATACATAGTTCAGTTTAGAGACTCATTCCTATGAGTGTTCTCATTTGGAAACTTCTTCTGACACAATGCCCCTAATTTTGTCTTTCATCTTTCTTGGGAGGCTAAAACTTTAAGAGAAAGTCACACAAAGCCTCTTCACAGACAACAAGTATAAAACCTTCTGGGATGAGGATCTTGCTCAAGAGAAACTTTCCATTTTATTCTTTTTAGAAATGAATTAAAAGTTTCCCTTCTCTATCAGGGTCTGAGTTAGTTTGCGTACAATATTTGCTTTATTTTGCTATCATCATCTGCTTCAAATATAAACCTCTGATTAAGTGAAAGACAGCCAAGTCTCTCCTACATATTCTTTCATTTAGACAGATTTAGTGAGACTCAACTTCCCTTCACTAATTTATTGGTTTCCTCTAAGTTTCTTTAAAGTTCTTTAGAAACTCTTCTGATTCTCTGTACCTTGCTTGAGAAGCAGGCTGGCCTGTGATAGTGAATATTGAGGGTTGGTTGTCCTTTGAATGAAAGATCTGGATTAAGTCTGACTTCAGACATATACTAGCTATACCTTGACCTTGAATAAGTCTCTAAGCCTTTCAGTTCCTCAGGTACCTCTAAGACTATAAATTACAAACAGTAGTGAATCTGCTTCAGTGGAGAAAGTTTCCACACCAGGAGTTCTATAAGGATGAAGTCACTGGTCTAAACCAAAAAGAATAAAACAAAATACCTGATGTAGAGGAGGCCATGGTAAATGTTTTAACATATACTGAAATTTGCTTCATAAGATAGAAACTACTTACAGCAGAAGAAAGTCTTCTTGAATAGAGTGCTTATATATCTGCAAGGAAATGGGATTGATCCTTTTGCAAGCCTTTTTCCACTGATTGTTGCAGATTTTGCCATTGTACACACTCATAGTGGAATGTAGAGGTCACAGGTGTCTGATTCTCTGGCTTACTGTACTGAGCCTGAAGGCTAAAGCAACTGAGACAAACAGGATTATCAGGAAAAAATGAAACAAGGCATGAATGTTTTGGTGACACAGAACACTGCAAGTTCTTAGTGAATGGGAATCTAACATATAGAAGATACTTTTGATAAAGGAATACTGAGGAACTAAAGCAGTATAGCTCTTGTGAAACTTAGAGGAAACTAATAAATTAGTGAAGGGAAGTTGAGTCTTAGTAAATCTGTCTAAATGAAAGAATATGTAGGAGAGACTTGGCTGTCTTTCACTTAATCAGAGGGTACCTGGCTCTCTTAATTTTCATTCCACTTTCCTCTGTTCCAACTATGGAATTGATCCTTCTCCATTCATGAACTGAAAACTTTTAGCCTAATGGCCAGGCTTCCATGTCAGTTGTCATAGGAGATCTACCAGTAGAAAGTCTTATTCTATATAGAATGTTACTTTCTTTTTAAGAAAAAGGGTACATTATGCATAAAAAATATATGAAAGGATGCCCTTTTTAGGGTGATTATGCTGTTTTTTTAATGGTAATTTTTATTTATTTTTTTTTCAACATTTACTTCCACAAGATTTTGAGTTCAAAATTTTCACCCCATCTCGCCCCTCCCCCAACCCCAAGATGGCATGCATTCTGAATACCCCTTCCCCTAGTCTGCCTTCCCTTCTATCTCTCCTCCCCTTCTTTTATTCTCTTCCCTTTTAATTTTCCTATAGGGCAGGATGGATTTCTGTACCCCATTTCCTGTATTTCTTATTTTCCAGTTGCATGTGGAAACATTTTTTTTTAAACATGTGTTTTTAAAACTTTGGGTTCCAGATTTTCTCCCTTCCTCCCTCCCCACCCACCCTCATTGATAAGGCAAGCAACTAAATATAGGTTATATATGTACAGTTATGCAAAACACTTCCATAGTAGACATGCTGTGAAAAACTAACTCTATTTCCCTTAATCCTATCCCGCCCACCCATTTATTCTATTCTTTCTTTTGATCCTGTCCCTCCTCAGAAGTATTTGCTTCTGATTACTCCCTTTCCCAATCTGCCCTCCTCTCTATCCTTCCCCTACTCTCTTGTCCCCTTCCCCCCCTATTTTCCTGTAGAGTAAGACTGATTTCCACACCCAATTGAATGTGTATGTTATTCCCTCCTTAAGCCAGATCCTATGAGAATAAGATTCACTCATTCCCTCTCACCTTCCCCCATTTCCCCTCCACTGTAAGATCCTTTTTTTCTGTTTTTTTCTTTTTTGTGGGATAATTTACCCCATTCTACCTCTCCCTTTCTCCTTCTCCTAGTATATTCCTCTCTCACCCCTTAATTTTATTCTCCAGATATGACCCCTTCATTTTCAACTCACCCTGTGCCCTCTATCTATCTATATCTATATATACATACATATAATTTTTTCCCCTCCAACTACCCTAATACTGATAAAGGTCTCATGAGTTACAAATATCATCATTCCATGCAGGAATGTAAACAGTTCAACCTTAATAAGTCTCTTATGATTTTCCTTTCCTGTTTACATCTTCATATTCCACTCGAGTCTTGTATTTGAAAATCAGATTTTCTATTCAGCTCTGGTCTTTTCATCAAGAATGCTTGAAAGTCCTCTATTTCACTGAATGACCATTTTTTCCCCTGAAGGATTATACTCAGTTTTACTGGGTAGGTGATTCTTTGTTGTAATCCTATCTCCTTTGCCCTCCGGAATATTATATTCTGTGCCCTGCGGTCCCTTAATGTAGAAGCAGCTAAATTTTGTGTTATCCTGATTGTGTTTCCACAATAGTTTCTTTCTGGCTACTTGTAATATTTTCTTCTTGACCTGGGAACTCTAGAATTTGGCTACAGTATTCCTAGGAGTTTTCCTCTGGGGATCTCTTTCACGAGGAGATCGGTGGATTCTTTCAATTTCTATTTTGCCTCTGGTTCTAAAATATCAGGACAATTTTCCTTGATAATTTCTTGAAAGATGATGTCTAGGCTTTTTTTTTGATCATGGCTTTCAGATTGTCCAATAATTTTTAAATTCTCTGTCCTGGATCTATTTTCCAGGTCAGTTGTTTTTCCAGTGAGATATTTCACATTGTTTTCTAATTTTTCATTCTTTTGGATTTGTTTTACAGTGTCTTTATTTCTCATAAAGTCACTCGCTTCCAATTGCTCTATTCTAATTTTTAAGGAAGTATTTTCTTCAGTAAGCTTTTGGACTTCCTTTTCCATTTGGCCAATTTTGCTTTTTAGGGCATTCTTCTCCTCATTGGCTTTTTGGACCTCTTTTGCCATTTGGGTTAGGCTATTTTTTAAGGTGTTATTTTCTTCAGTATTTTTTGGGGTCTCCTTTAGCAAGCTGTTGACTTGTTTTTCATGATTTTCTTGCAAAACTCTGAGTTTTTCCTCTACTACTCTTACTTGCTTCTCAAAATCCCTTTTGAGCTCTTCCAAGGCCTGGGACTGATTCATATTTTTCTTGGAGGCTTTGGATGTAGGAGCTTTGTTTTCTTCTTCTGGTTGTATGTTTTGATCTTCTTTGTCACCAAAGTAAGATAATATAGTCTGACTCTTTTTGCACTGCTTATTCATGATCCCGGCCGGTTACCTGAGTTTTAAACTCTTTGTTAAGGTAAAAGTCTGCTTCCAATGTGAAGAGTGTACTGTCCCAAGCTTCGGGGGTTTGTACAGCTGTTTTCAGAGGTACTTCTAGGGACCTGTACATTTTCAGTTCTTCCAAGGTGCTATGATAAGGGGCGAGGTGTTTTTTCTTCACCACCACAACAAGCTCCACCACACCAGTGCTCCTCCTCGCCCCAGGACCACCCCTCAGAACTGTGACCCAGATCTAAGCACGGGCAAAGCAAGAGATTCCTGCCTCAGCACTGGTAAAGAGATCCTTGCAATCCCCCTCTGATCAGCCACTCGATTACCCCTCAGTCTGTGGGCCGGAAGCTCAGGAAAAAGCCGTGGCCCCGGGCCACGCTCCAGACTTGCAGCTGAGACCTAGCTCCTCTCTCCCCCCAGTCATAGACTTTTCCCACTGACCTTCTAAGTTGTCTTTGACATTCAGGGGTTGAGAAGTCTGGAAACCACCACAGCTGCCCGTGATTCAGTCCTCTGAGGCCTGCTCCAGGGTCGCTGCGGCCTGTGCGCCCACGCCGAGCTGCGCTCCTCTCCCCGCCCGGTGCGATATACCTTTCCGATCAACCATTCAGGCTGTCTATGGCTGGAAATTTGTTTCATTCTGTCTTTTTGTGGGTTCTGCTGCTTTAGAATTTGTTTAGACCCATTTTTTTATGTATTTGGAGGGCTTTGGGAGAGAGCTCAGGACAGTCACTGCTTTCCCTCCACCATCTTGGCTCCGCCCTCATGATTGTGCTGTTTTGTTTGGTGTTGTGATATTGTCTTTGAGTTAATCTGCCCTTGAGAATTAGATTATTAAAACATGTTCAGTAAGAGAGGCCACATGGCACAGTGGAAAGAGCAGTGATGTGGCAGTTCAGCAAATCTGGATTCCCATCCTGTCTAACAAAATGACTTCACCTTCAGAGGCCTGTTTCCTTATCTATAAAATTAGGGCATTGGACTCGATGAACTCTAAGCTCTAACATTCTGTTATTCTAAGTCAGCAGACCAAATAATGAAGTAGGCTGTGTATGTGTGTTTTCTCCATAGGAGAAGTCAAGGTTAGACAGGAGCACTTTGAAGAAGCTTTTAAGAAAGTGAAACCCTCAACATCAAAAGAGGTAAGAAATGCCCTCTTTGTAAAAAAGGGAACAGAATTGGAGCCATTTCAGGGCTATCTTCAACATGCCATCCCTTTTCCTAGAGAATACCAAACTGCTACATGAAGTGAAAAATCCAGCAATACTACTTCTAGAGTCAGGAGACAGAAGGCTTTGGATAAGTTAGGATAGAAACTGAAGTAGACATTCCTGTGGCAAAATAAAATTGTCCAGTTATCAATGGAATTGGGAACTGAAGAAAAATATTCTCCTGTTTTATTATCCATGAAATTATTTCTCATGTCTTTTCCAGTGCTGACATTCAGTAGTTGAATGCAATATTTTTTTTAAAAAATTAACCAAACAACTTGCAAGAACTTAAATAAATATCCATTCAAGTATCTGTTGGACCCTGTACTTCTTACCCTAGTGGCTTCTTATCACAACCAGGTTTTATTGAGGTTAAGCTATGTATTGGTTAGAAAACTTTAGTTATTTATATGTTTGTTTGAATGAAGTAGAAATAATATCCTCATCTTTTGATGGGAAGAAATTACTATAATGCTTTTTTTTCCCCTTCCTCATATCAGATGTCAGGTTTTGAATGTTCACTTCTGATTGTTGGTGTGTTCTATTTGTAATAAATGAAATAGAAGGACTTGTTATAAAATGAAACCAGTTCTTACAAAGATTACAAAGGGGATGATATCCATATACAGAGGTGGATCTGAAATGGATACTGTTAGGGAATCCATGTTCACTGGAGCATCTTATTGTTTCCAGGCTCCTTGGATAGCATTCACAAATTATAATGTTTCTTGGCCAAGATAACATGTTTTTAAATCATGAACTGTTTACCACTTCCAGCTTCAAATTTTCCCTCACTCTGATAACTGATTGAAAAATCTTATTTCAGGGGCAGCTAGGTGGCACAGTGGATAGAGCACCGGCCCTGAAGTCAGGAGTATCTGAGTTCAAATCCAACCTCAGACCAAACACTTGACACTTACTAGCTGTGTGATCCTAGGCAAGTCACTTAACCCCAATTGCCTTAAAAAAAAAGAAAGAAAAAAAGAAAAATCTTATTTCAAAATCCATAACAATTACATAGAATGGATTGCTTGATCTGCTCCACAGCTTCAGTGGCAGCAGATAGTATATGGCTAGGTAGTCATTCGAGGCCCTGTACAACCTGGTAACAAATTAGCTGTACTTTTCTCAGTATTCTAGTCAGTTAAGATATTTATTATCCCCAATACACACCCTACAGTTTCTTAACTCCTCCTGTGCTTTTGTTCATGCTGGAATCTCCTCCTTTCCTATTCCTGGAATTTCCTTTCTCACCCTCTGTGGTCATTCAGTCATTTCAGTGATGTCTGACTCTTTGAAGTTTTCTCCAGCTCATTTTACATAGGGGAAAATCTGAGGAAAATAGGGTTAAATGACTTGCCCAGGGTCACACAACTAATAAGAGTCTGAGGCCAGATTTGAACTCAGGAAGATGGGTCTTCCAGACTCCAGGCCAGGAAATTTCTTCCTTCTCATTTAAGAGATTGCACCAAGATGCAACAAACATTTTTTAAGCATCTGTGTTCCAGGCACTGTGAGGCAAAAATAAACAGTTCCTACCTCAAGAAGTTTACATTCTTTTGGGTTGGGGAGGAGGACAAGATTTGGAAAATTGAAAACAGAAGATCACAAAGAAAATGTGGGAGGGAGGTCACTAGCAACTAGTGGATCACAACAGGCTTCCTGTAGGTCCTCACATAAACTTTGAAGGAAGCTAGAAATTCTTTGAGCCAGACATGAGGAGATGGAAAACATTCCAGCCAAGGGGACAACCTATGCAAAGCCACAGAGATGAGAGATATAATGTGGAGGCCCTCTCACTGCTCCCTTACTCCACATGCCTTTTTGTAAAATTTTTCAAAAAAACTTTTTCAATTAACAAATACTTATTTTTTTCTCATTCCCTTCCCCTCTAGAGGAAAAAAAGGAAAAGCAAAACCTAAACCCTTGTAGTATACACACATAGTCAAAACAAATTCCCACATTGTCCATTCCAGAAATGTATTTCATTCTCCATATTGAGTGTATCATCTTAGGAGGTAGGTTATATTCTTCATCATTAGTACTATGAAATCATAATTGGTTTTTATGTTGATCAGAGATCTCAGAGTTGTCTGTTCTTACAGTGTTGTCATTTGGATCTGCTCGTTTCACTATGTATCAGCTCATACTAGTCTTTCCAGAATTCCCTGAAACCATCCCTTTTATCATTTCTGATGGCATAATAGTATTCTATTACATTCATTTACCATCATTTGTTCAGCCATTCCTTGATTGATTGGCACCTCCCTAGTTTTCAGTTCTTTGTAACCACAAAAAAAGCTGCTATAAATATTTATATACATGTGGGATTTTACTTGACTTCATGTGAGTCATTTTCCCTTTTTATTTGATTTGAGGGAATGGCCTAATGCTTTTTTTTATCTGTAGAAGTTGAATAGTATTGTACACTTCCTCTGTCCCTAAAAACCAAGCTAAAGAAAAAAGCTTGGGTGTCCTATTACAGAGTCTATTGAGCAGTACTGGCCCCCATACTATTATGAACTGGGTAAAATGCCCCTTTCTCTAGGTAACTTTCAGCCTCAACTAATTCTTTCTCTCCCGTGATGCAAGTTTCTTTCATCTTATGGCATCTGTGTAGCTGTGAACAATAATGGCATTTACTCTATGACCGGCACAGTCTATTGCTGTTTTGAGGCAGAGCTCACATGCAGAGAGTTGGCATTTTACTCATCAGATCCTCCATCACATTGCCATTTTGTTTAATTTAGAAGATAAAGACCATAAGGCAAAGATTCTCTTCCTCTTAGCTCCTTCTTCTGTATCTTATTGATTCCCTATAGATACGAATCTGTGGGACTCAGGCTCTTCTAGTTTTGGGACCTTTGACCAGTGGACTACTTATGATTTAAGTAATCTTAGAAGACATATATGATATGTGTTTATATATTTGTTTGAATTCAGAGATAGTATCATGCCATCTTTTTTCTAAGCTTCCAACTAGACCAGATCCTGATGGTTTAACATGTAGGATTTTGTTGGACAGATAAATTATAGCATGTTTTGTCACCCTTGTTTCTTTCCTATCCTGTCAGATCCTCACTGCAGCAGGCAACCATTCATCCAGAAAACTGCTCTGGCACTAAATGTTTGGTATATGACTTTATCATTAATCTGTAATGAAACCCACAATGAGTTTTTATCCCTAATACATTAATTATTTATAGGAGGTTAGGCACACAACCTGCTCACTCTATGTATTCCCCCTAAAGGAGCTATCTATGCCTAGCAATTCTGTAACATAGGTATTACTGGGAGAAAAAACAGCCAGATCAAAGTCATCATTTTTCCCCTGTCTACTCCCACCCTCAGTTCCTTTATAATAGGTTGTTTATGGTTGGAGAAATCTACCATCCCAGTAATCTAGATACCAACTATAAATATCATTGGGAGATGATTTGGGGGACATACAGCTTTTACCTGGAAAGTTTAACAATAAAGTGACTAATTTTTTAACTAAACATACCAGAGCTTAGATGGCTAAACTAGCTATACATTTATTCCAGTGGTATTTCTGTTTTCAGAACATTTTTAGAATTCTTCTTTGTGGCTTGTCTTTGAAATCTGTAACTCTTCTTTGGGGGCATTAACTTTTTCCAGTAGTGGCCAAAAAAAAAAAATTCACTTTCCTTTGAGGGTAGATCTAGACTTTAGTAAATTTATCAAATATCCAAAATCAATTTCAGTCAAGTCTTACACAGTAGCAAAAAATAGAGCCCTAAGTTCTCATAAAGATCTAGTTGTGCCCACCAGGGAATGTTAGCCATCACGTGTACACACTCAGAGAGCTTTGCCTTGGTTAGATTGTTAAGGGTAAGTTAATATATAAGGAGAATGAATGCCTTTATTAACCGTGGGAGGACAAAGGAAGGAGGTTAAATGGAACTTAGCTTTTGAGACTAGGTGGAAATACAAAGCAAGCTTTAAATATCTGCCGAACTTCTTGTCTTAAATGCTAGGTCCCTAGTCTTTGGAATTGGTAACACTGTCCTAGGGAAGGAGGCTCTCCAGTCCCCTTCCAGAATCAGTTCAACACACTCCTAATCTTTAACCTCTCCGTGTCTCACATCTGACCCCTTCTCTCTGATCACACAACAACCAACTGAATTCAGGCCCTCACCTCCTCCCCCCGAGATTATTACAGTGCCTTCCTGATTCATCTCCTTGTCTCAAGTCTCTCCCCATACTAGTCAGTTCCCCACAAAGCTGCCAAAATAGTTTTTCCTCTAGTTCAGATCTGACCACATCACTCCATTACTCAGTGAACTCAGGTGGCTCCTAGTGCCTTGAGGTTTAAATATAAAGCCCTCTCTGTCTAGCTTTTAAAAACCCTTTATAACCTTGCACCTACCTCCCCTCCTATCTCTGTGCCTTTTCATTGGCTATCCCCTGCCTGGAATATGCTCCCTTAACTTTGCCTAATAAAATCCCTCTAGTCTGTTAAGACACAGCTCAAGGTCCGTCTTCCCTGATTCCTCACAACTGCTAGTGCCCTTTAACTATTTTGTATTTATTTAGTTTGTATTCATATATTACTTGCCATGGGTAAGGGTTACTTTCTCTCTTCTTTCTCCCTCCCCACCCAATATCCACACTGTTGCCAAGGCCTATCACATTCACCTTGGCAGCATCTCTCCATTATGCCTCCTTTTGACATTGGCACCACTCTAGTGCAGGCCCTCATCATCTCACACCTTGATTATTGCAGTGAACTACTGATGGATCTGCCTGTCTTGAGTCTCTTCCCCACTCCAATCCATCTTCCATTCAGCTACTAAAGTAATTTTCCTAAAATTAACAAGTCTGATCGAGTCATACACCCCGCCCCTCTCTCAGTAAACACCAATGGCTTCCTATTGCCTCCGGAAGCAAATACAAAATGCCCTGTTTGTCATTCAAAGCCCTTCATAACTTTGCCCCCTCCTGCTTTTCCAGTCTTCTTACTCTTGGACCCATACTCTTCAATCCAGTGACACCAGCCTCCTGGCTATTCCACAAACAAGAAATTCCATCTCTCAGGTCCAGGCATTCTGTCTTCCATGCCTGGAATTCTTTCCCTCCTCTTTCCTGACTTCCTTTAAGTCCCAACTAAAATCTCATCTTCTACAAGAAACCTTACCAACCTTCTTAATTCCAGTGCCTTCCCTCTGTTAATTATTTCCTTTTTATCCTATCTGTAGCTTGCTTTATATATATATTTGGGTGCATGTTGTCTCCTCCATTAGATTTTAAGCTCCTTGAAGGTAGGAATTATTATATGCCTCTCTTTTCATCCTCAGCACTTAAGTCAGTGCCTGGCACATAGTAAGCACTTAATATTGATTGATTGATTGATTCATGTAAATCGTTGCAAGGTTTTAACTGGAATGCTAATGTGAAGATCTAGAGTATTTACCTAGAGGGTGGAGCTCCTTCAGTTGATCAGAATAAGGGATGGAAGGAAAGAGGGGAAAGACCCATATGTGCAAAAATATTTATGCCAGCTCTTTTCATAATAGCAAAAACCTGGAAACTAAGGGAGTGCCCACCTAGAGAATGGTTAAACAAATTATTGCATGTGAACATATAGAATAATGTTCCACAGGAACATTTTGAAATGACAATAAATGAGCTGAGAACTGATGCAAAGTGAGGTGATTTGTACAGTGACTACAACGTTATAAAGAAAAATAATTTTGAAAGACTCCAGAACTCTTATTGTCTTATGCAAGACAAACCAGAATGCCAGAGATCAAAGATAAAGCAGATTCCACACCTCTTGACAGAGGTAGGATGGACTCTAAATTGGATGTGACCAATGAGGGAATTTGCTTCTTTTGACTATGCATGCTTGTTATGAGTATTTTCTTGTTCTTTTCTTATCTTTTTTCAGTGGGGGGTGGGAAGGGTCAGCTGCGGAATGGTGTGGGAGAGAGAAAGAGAAAAGCAATGATTGTTAATTGGTTGGGGTTTTTTTCTTTTTTGTGAATAAGGGAATGGGAGAGTCTGTGGAATTGGCCACCAGGGAAAATGATATGTGGGGGTAGTTTTTATTTGAAAAGTCAAAAGTTATATACAACTGAGAATTGATATAATACTTATTTGTTATTTATTCCAGAAATTTAACTTACAATTGGTAGACTAATTCATCGTACCCCACAAGCCTTACGTCATATTTTTATGAAAATCAGGACAGCTACTTTTTATAACTTTGCCAAGTCTAGCAGGAAAATGTAATTGACAGTTTAACCCTCTGCACCCTTGAGATTGTTTAACATTGATTGCTTTCGTAGTTACACTCTTCATCTTGAAAATTTCATTACAGACGCAATTACCTAGCCAAATCCGTATTCAAGACCAGGAAAGCGAGCCAGCGCTTCCATTAGCTCTGGAGTACCTTGTTCCAAAATAATCTCTAACAGGCACTACATCATAAGGAGCTTGTGTACTTACTGCACATGGATTGCACGTGCTGGTCCAAGCGTCTGAGAATTGTGTCTGCCCAAAGGGCAAGGTGGTATTGAAGTGTGAATGAGCATGTAGGAGTCGTCTCCAGCCTCCTTGTGGGGGATTATAATTTAGCACTTCTTACCCTGACCAATCTCTTGGGTTGCTATAGGGCTATAGTTTAGGCACACCACACCATGCAGGCAAAATCCCAGAACGCTAGGCCAAGTCTCCAGGCAACTATTGCTGCTCACCCTCTCTGAAGCTAGTTTGTTAAATATTCATTTGCCTTCCTGGGGTAGAAATTTAGCATCAGGGTGCTAGTAGAAAACAAAATCAGATTGAATACGGCAGAAAGAGAAAGCATCAGAGATTCAACTCAATGCCAGGGACATACCATATTGATTTGGCTATTAGTATGTGGCCACAATCACCATTTCTGCTACTTTCCCCCAGTCCTTACTCTATACAGTTTGTAATTTTACTTTCCCCCAAAAACTTTATTAACTAGATCAAAAGACAACTTTCTACCACGGTGTTTTACACAAACAACTCTAAAGGTCTCTTGGGATCCCTATGGAAAGGTACATGTATGAGGTTAGAGAATAGAACAGGTAGTGTCAGTGTTCCACAGCAATAACCTAACGCTCTTTATTTTGCTCTCTGTGGCATCTTTAGGATCAAATAATGTATGAAAAACTTCGGCAATCCCTCAGCTGATGGTGTCACTCTCTGTATTTCGGTCTGTGGAAGAATGTGTTGGTCACATCATATGTCTATATGGCAAAGAAGACCTTGACATTTTCGCTTGATAGTTTGCCTTTTTAAGATGGTCCAGACACAGCTATGGTTTCAAATGTGAGCTGCTTAATACCAAATGGTAAACATAAACAACTGCTGAGGATCCCCTTATTTCTCTGAAATTTTATGCAGCAACAGTCAAGCATTTTACCTTTTTGGAAAGTAAAGGAATCAAAATGAAATAGATTATATGTTTATGCTTTGTTTCTTCAATTGAATCTATTTTACTTTTGCTAACTATAGATGAGTTGTCTTCCAACGGAAGAGCCTTTTAGTTTTGGAACAATTTTTCTTTTAGAAAAAGTTTTGTTTTAAGATAGTGATCTGAGGTCTGGTCCTCACCCTATTTGTTAAGACTTTGGATAGTCACTCAGAACTTCTCCACATCTCAATTTGCTCATCCCTGTAACCTGGAACTATTATCTGCCCTGCCTTTCTCACATGGTTGAAATAGATCAAATGAAATTTATCTATGAGTGCTTTATAAATTGTAAATTTTGAGGCAATCCCGCCTTTGGAGGGGACCTAGATTTCCAAATTTGGAGGCGGAAAGTGATCTTTGGTAAGGAGCTACTTCAGGTTTAGCATACTGTCTAAAGAAAACTGCTACCCCAACTGGAAGTGTGTGTGTGTGTGTGTGTGTGTGTGTGTGTGAGAGAGAGAGAGAGAGAGAGAGGAAAAGGAGGAAGGAAAGAGGTCCTAAATGAAATGATCAGGTAGAGAAAAAAGAAACTTGATTATGGATTGGGTGAAAGGAAAAGTTGTTGACCTTGAAGGATTCTGACAGCCATCAAGTTTTGACATTTTTCTCTAAATGATTTAAAGTAGAGGTGAACAGGGACACTACCTGCCCTCTCCTTTTTTTGTTCTTTGTGAGTATTGTTTAAGCCTAAAGTTTATCTATTCTGTGATTTGTATTGTTTGCATTACTGTAGTTATCATTGAGTCATAGTATTATATTGGCCACACATTTTCCCCAGCTCTAGTATAATCTCACTGAATGGTTATAAAGATGACACATTGTTGGGAAGATGAAAAGAAAATGATAAAGTGACTAAGACAAACAGAACAGTGAATAAAACATCTTTGAATGGACAGAAATGTAAAAAAAAAAAAAAAAAGGCTTAATAAATTTATTTCTATGTAATTTCATATGGTTTGTCAGTGTAAAGAGATATATATATATTTCCTTTCAAAGAGATTTCATCATAGGAGAGGAGCCTGTACAATATAGTATATGTTTTTATTTAAGTAATCAACTTAAACTACTCTTCTTCCAAGAGGCAAGGAAAACACTTCCATTAAGATAAGGAGTAAACTTTGTTCTCTTTAATTTGAAACCTTTCTGCATATGGGTCTGTTGGCTTTCAGCCATGACATCTTCAGATTTTGTCAATGATTAAGAGCAAGATTTAAGGTATGGAAGATGGAAAGTATAATATGAATCAAAGTAAAAGCTTTTTAAAATCAGTTAGTCCTTTGTAGATTTAATTAGGCTATGACCAGTGCAGTTGTAAGGTGGGGGCCTGCTGGTCAGAGTTAGATGCAGGACTGAACTTAAGCGTGGCATAATGGAAAAGAACCTGGATTTGCGATCAGAAGTCTTGAGAATCTATGTAACCTTGGTCACGTCACTTCCTTCGTTAGGCTTGCAGTTTCTTCATCTCTGAAATCTGTGGAGAGGATTGGTCTAGACTACCTCTAAAGTTCCTTCCAAGCTCAAAATTCTATGAACTTGTGACCATCGGCTTCAAATTAGATTGCTTAGAACAGCTTTATTTTAACACGTGTTGCATGTTTAATCTTTCCATCTCTGGAATTAGTGTTTAGATTGTGACATATGTGGTTCATTTGATAACTGTGTAACCACTAAGGTCTGTCTTGTCTCTTAACAGACAACTGTTGTACTGAGTAAATATGTGCTTTGGAGAAAAAGATCGAAAGCCAGAGTTACATAGGATCTAAGAAAATGTTCTTTTATCTTTCTATCTGTGCCCAGATTAAATCTGTGGAGTAGAAGTACAAATACATCTACTCCTTCTAAACAAACATTTCTTGGGATTTTATTGAAACCCCATCAAACAAACTTGCTTCCCTCAGCCCTCTGAAGAGAATGATAAAACAGTATGGAAATAGAACCTGTGATATTATTAGATCAGGGCTGAAGCATGTCTGCCATTTCTGTCCCCAGTTTGGATAACCCCCAGAAAAGCAATGTTCAGTGTTCTGTTTTCTTCAGTGTAGTCCAACCACTCAAAAAATTGTTTCCAAAGCAGGAATGTTTTAAGAAGGAGCCTTGACACATCTTTTACTACAACTTGTCTGATAATCTCCTCCAACTTTTTTTTTTAACAGGCAAGTTAACTGGTCTTTCCGCTCCAGCTTATTGAGTTTAATGTGTCACACAATGACTCTTCACTTTTTGTGTTCCAGAAAGCACAAAGAACTACATGAGGGAACTGAGAACAGAATCAGAAAATGGGGTGGATGACTTAACAGGAAGTCAAGGGAGTAAAAATAACACTTGAATTTTTCTTCAAAGTTCATAATACACATTAATTTTATATCTTGCAATTGTTTTGATCCCTTTTTACAGATGAGGAAACAGGTTCAGAAAAATTAAGTGATTTAACCAGCTAGTAAGTGCTGGATCAATGACTGGAATCCCAAGTCACATGGTCCTAGGTTCAGCACTCTTTCAGCTGTTCCATGAATATCATTTTTTTTTTTTTTTAGGCCTGGGATTTCATTGGTATAGCAAAGCCCTGTTGTTCTACCAATGCAGATTCAATCAAGAAGTTTGTTAATGTTTCTATTAGCAAAATAAGAGCACTTATTTTGGAATTGGAATAGAAATGAGAGCCATGAAACAAAGAATTGGGAATAGAATTAGTAACTTGGCACAGGAGGTACAAAACCTGGCCCAAGAAAAATCTCTAAAAGTTGGACTGGAGTTTGATCCAAAAGCCATGAGAAAAGAACTTTTAAAGACAAAACACTGAAAAGATAAGAGAAAATTTAAGTTATCTAATAGCAAAATGAATTGACCTGGAAAACAGACAAAAAAAATTTTTAACAACCATTGGATTACCTGAAATCTATGACCAAAAAAAGATCATCTTTCAAGAAATTGCAAAATTAGCCAATCTCTTAGAATCAGAGGGCCAAGTAAAAAAATAGAAAAATGAAATGAAAATAGAATCTACCAGTCACCTCCTGAAACTCCCAATTGAAAACTCCAGTAACATTATAACCAAAATCCAGAGCTTCCAAGGTCAAACAGAAAAATAGTATAAGCAGTCAGAAAAAAAATCAAGTATCAAAGAGTCAAGATCACACATGATTTAGCAGCCACCACCATTCATAGTGGAGAGTTTGAAAATACAATATTTCAGATGGCAAAACAAAGCCTTTCTAACAAGAATAGCCTACCTGGCAAAACTGAGTATTATCCTAGATAGGGGTAGGGGCAGAAATGGTATTTTAGTGAGAGTACTTCCAAGCATTCCTGATGAAAAGACCAAAGCTGCATACAAACTTTGAAATACAAACATAGGAGTCAACAGAAGCATAAAAAGGTATACATAAATAAGCAGTCATAAGGGACAAAACAAGGATAAATTGTTTACATTCTGATATAAAGAAATGATACACCTACCCCTTAGAACTCTATTATTGTTGGGGTCATAGAGGGAGTTTTTAAGACAGGATCTGGAATTGGTTCTGTTTTAATGATTGTAAAGGAATATGCTAGACAGGGAAAGGAAGGGTGAAGAAAATTATCTCTCATGTCAGCATGTAACAAATAGAGGGCTATACAAACAAAGAGGGGATGAAGGAAGTGGCTGACCCTTGAACCTCACGCATCTGAACTGGTCAAAGGTGGAAAGACTACCTACACACACACATAGCTGGGTACAGAAATACATTGTGCTTACTAGAGAAACAAGGGCAAGAGAAGGGGTAGAGATTACATGAAAGTAGGGATTAGTCCTAAGCAAAATAAACTAGGGAGGGTGGATCTAGAAGGAGTTAAGAGGAAAAGACAACCTGTGATTGACTTCTGAGTGAAGGAAAGATCTTGGGCAGGGGAGCAGAAACGGACTACCAAACTTAGAATACACTCCTCTCTCACCACCTTCTTTGTAAAGAGGGGATGAGAACCAGAGAGAAGGAAAGTATAAGAGAATAAGATGGAGGAAAATGCACAATGATCTTAAATCTGTGAATGGGATGAAATTCATAAAATGAGGATTGCAGAATGGATGAGAAAGAAGAAATCAATATGTTGTTTACAAGCAACACACTTGAAATACAAAGATTCGCACAGTAGAGGACTGAAACAGTCTATCATTTATCAACTGAAATAAAGACTTAGGAGCTCTGATCAACCAGTGACTAGTAACAGTTCCAGAGGTCTGACAATGAAGCATGCCACCTATCATCTGACATACGATAAACTCAGGGTGCAGAGGGAGAAACATTTGTGGACACAGCAAATGTAAGAATCTGTTTTGCTTAACTATGCATATGTGTTACAAGAGGTTTTGATTTTTTTTTCTTTTTATTGGGCAGGGCAGGGAAGTGGGAGGAAGAGAAATTTAATGCTTATCAACTGACAAAAAGCAAAATAAAGAGTTACATTAAATGTTTAAAAGTTCCCAAATCACTCGTTTGTAATCATAGAGTCCTGCTAAATGGCATCTTCCTTAAATACCATTTTAACTATACGTGCAGGCAGCATAATGGATGAAATGCTGGGACTGGAGTCAGGAAGGCTGGGTTCAAAACCCTAGAATTTTGGCTACCAAGTCATAGGGTTGCTTATATATTCTAATGAATTAAGAATTTTGCTCTTTTGTATGCTGTAAATCTGGAGATCCAAATATTTAGCAAGCAAAAGATTAATGTCACTTTGTTTTGCCATATTTTTAGCTGGTAGAAAGGGGTCAGCAGACTTCACACCACAGGTACTAGTCTTCCCTGAACATACCCCACACCCTAATGCACACAATGCAGCCTCTGAAGCTGAGATGCAACAAAGTATGGATCAATTCTCTGCTGCTTATGCTAATTTTGGCCTAACAACACCAAGAAAACAGGCATTCCATCAGCCAGCACCACATCACCCATATGTGGAACTATCAGTTACAGCAAATGGAGAGGCTTTGAATGCTGTGGATAAGTTCACTTATCTTAGCAGTATACATTCCAGGGATGTACCCATTGATAATGAGGTTGACACATGCATTACCAGAGTTAGCTCAGTGTTTGGAGGGCTCCAAAGCAAAGTATGGGATAGAAGAGGTATTAGATTACCAAAGTGAAGGTCTGCAGAGCCGTTGTGCTGACCTCATTGTTGTGTGCCTGTGGAACCTGGACAGTGTACCAGTGCTGTGCCAACTGAATCACTTCCATTTGAATTGACTTAGCAAGACTGAAGATAACCTGGCAGGATAAGATACCAAACACTGAGGTCCTATCTTGAACTAAACTGCCAAGCATTGAAACTCTACTGAAGAGAGCACAACTTCAATGGCCTGGCCATGTTGTTTGAATGCCAAACTTATGCATGCCTAAAAGACTTTTTCAGGAAGTACTCACGCAAGACAAGCACTCACATGGTGGTCAGAAGAAGCGATATAAGGACATTCTCAAGATCTCTCTGAAGTACTTTGGAACTGATTGTGTGACATGAGAGACACTGGCACAGGACTGCTCAGCATGGAATGCCCACATCAGAGAAGTCGCTGTGCTCTGAGCAAAGCAGAATTGAAGTAGCTTAAAAGAAATGTGAGATGTGCCAATTTAGAGAATCCACCCCAAATGTTCACATGGACTATTTGTGCCTGACCTGTGGTAGAGCATTCACAAACTTATATTGGTTTGATCAGCCACGGTCAGGCACGCTGTAACTTGACTGTAACATAGTGATGTCATTTGGTCCTCTTTGAGAACAAAGGACAACAACCAACCAAAAAAAAAAAAGATGACAGCTCTCTCCATCTCCCTCCCTCTTACCAGTGCATTCCCTCAAAGATTACCTTCCATTCATACTGTGGTTATCTTGTATATACAAAGCTATTTGAATGTTGTCTCCCTCATTGAAATGTGATCGCCT